AGGTCACGGTGTAAAAGATTATAGTGTGTTAGAAAGGTCTTTCACATGTAATACACGTGTAATATGAACGCCCTATCTCTTTGCATACAAAACATATGACCAAGGTTAAAGTTTTCGTGACAAACGGACAGAAAGACAGACCTACAGACTGTCAGATTGACAAACAGACAAACGAAGGAGATTAAATGTTCCCTCGCTTTCGTGAAAACAAGAATTTTTTGACAAAGACATGTTATAATGTACCAAGTTCCTTTACAAAACGTGTTTCACTTTTGCACGTTTTTGTATAAATGAGGGAATTAACAAAATCAGCTTCTTCAGAAGGACATTTATCTGACCTTGCCAACGTGATTAGTCAGTTAAATATGCCTGGCGCCTTTGTGATAGTACAATCAATCCAGCAATGCAAATCTAACTGACTTGAAGCTTTTCTTTCAATAAAAACCTTCTGAGATGCAGGTCAATCGATTATTACGTAATCTTTAACTGTTAAAAGTTATTATTGACATTTGCTAATGTCTTTCCATATATAACAATGCTAATAAAATGGAAATTCAATTTTCAATGACATGCAGTTGGTCGCATGATTAGACTTTCTTGAGTATGGAAAGCAAACTGCACGAACCATTTGGAAAGTTCCAATTGTGACGTCAATTGACGTCGTAGATACGTTATGTTGCATTTCCAAAGCAAAGTCTAAATAATCCTATATTTCTTTGTAACACGACTAAAAACGTAAAATATGAATATAAGAAATAAACAGAAACTCCTACAAGTTAGAAAATCTACTTATTCTGATTATAAAACAATATATTTTTGCGAGTAAGTATGCCAAAACTATAAGATTAAACGTTGAGATCTTAAAAAATGTTATTACTGAAAGAATTAGAGTAGAAAAATTTCTTTTGTTAAAAAATTGTAAATATGATGAATTTGAAAGACACTGGCAGAAAATAGTTGAAAAACTTTAAAATTTTCTTACCGTTACCTGTTCAATAAAGTGTGTGCCCTCATCTTTCTCTCGCTCACTTTCTGTTCTTTCCCCCTTCTCTAACCCTCTCTCTTTCCACATAAACTTTCACACTAGTTTTTATTATTTCTTTTTTTTGTTTTTGTTTTATTATAAACCTTTATTATTATAAACCTATATATACGTCTGTTTCATATTTGTGTAATTTGTGTGAAAGTTAAAATAAATTTCTCAAAAAAAAACAAATATATATATATATATATATATATATATATATATATATATATATATATATATATATATATATATATATATATAAGAAATAAAATATCATTTTTAAAGTTTCATTGGGTATGACATGAAGTCGGTACGTGATCAAATCTACGCGTTATAGAATTTGATCACGTGACCGACTTCATGTCAAACCCAAATGAAACTCTAAAAATGATGATTTATTTCTTAATTGAATAAGAAATTTTGGAGACAATTTTTTCAGTCAAATGTATATGTTACATGAAATCATTTATTTTCAATAAAGTTCATTTTGATGCTTTCTCGTAGAATTAATGACGATTAAAATCTCGTGATATTATGATGTGATATTTTATAACTAATTACGTGTATAGCCATGGGATTACAATGGTAATCGAACTAAGGAGTTCACTAGAATAATGTATATTTTTGGTAAAGATCCAATAAGGACCTCTAAAAGCATAAGAGATTGGATAAAGTACCATGAAAGAGAAAGTACCATGAAAGAGAAAGTACCATGAAAGAGAAAGTATCTCCTATCAACTGGTCACACCTGTCGGGTACTTCTTATTATTGTAGAGCAGTTTGAGATACTAAGTGCGCGTCGAATTTAAAATTACTATGTTATCATCTCTATCCAACTCAATCTTACAAAGTCTATTCTAATGATTACTGGTACAATAAAAACTTTGGGCTTATAATTGAATGAAAACAAAATAAATGAAAATATTTAAATATATCTATATATTTAAGATATTTAAATTCGTAAAAGTGTAAGAATTTTCTTTTTTTCATTTCAGTGACAAAAATTGATAGGCCTTTAAAAACCCAAAACGTTGTTTTTTATTGGCGAATAAACACCACCGCATATAAAAGTACACCCGACATAGAGTAACAATCATAAACGTTATGACTCGGAAGACATATCGTACCTCTACGTGTGTATATCGAATAAAAAAAAGGACTGCCCTATACAATTATTAAAACATCAAAATATAAAATGAGGACTTTATCATCTTTTAATGTAACTTTGTTTATTTCAACTGTAAGCGGAAGATCGGGAAAGTTTAAGATAAGGATATGGAGAAAACGAATAGAATTATTCAATATCAAAGTCCATCAAACAATACAAAATAGGAACAGAGCAAACACGGACCTCTAAAACAGAGGTGGGATCAGGTGCCATGGAGGAGTGAGCATTCCCTGCTGACCGATCACACCCGCCATGTGCTCCTTGTTATGATCGGGAAATAACGGAAAAATCCTTCATCAATTCAATGTATAAATAATGGACTAACAATTGGTATGAAAAACGTCAGTCAGCATTTAACTCAATGATAAATTGTATTTGCTGACAAAGTCATTGTATCGACCATAGAACTTACGAAACATGATGACTTTAAACGAGACTGCTGGTATTCTTGTTTCATCAACTTGCTTGTCAATAATTTACCTCGTTTAAGAAATTGTTCATACATAGAGCATGCTCATGAGTGTCGAATCAATTGAGATATATGCACTCCGTATGCAGGTGATGAAGGTATATTGCTGCATAAGTAAGGGAAGTTGACGATAGAAAAGTTAAAGTCTTCACGTTTATCATATAATTTGTTTGTTTGATTACCATTAGTGTCTTTTTCAAGTAAAATATACAAGTATGAAACAGATTTGTCAGACTCTGTGGTATCGTTTATCTCAAGCTCTCCAAGATTTATCGATGTAGGAATGGAAATTACCATTGTTAATTACAATAATATACGAACAACTTTCAAAAGGAGCAAATTTATTTAAAACAAGTGAAACAAAGATAAAAAAAAATTAGTTTAAAGTGAAAAATTTGCTAATTGTACACTGTATGGGCGATGCAATTAACTTACTAGTATCATCAAAGCAACCTAACATTAAGTTAAGTATTTACTTTAGGATTTCATAACCATATAACATTTTAAAATTAAGGTCAATATTTCACACACACTGAGTTGCCTAAGGGATTTTTCCTTTCATCTGATCATGACAAGGAGTATTTTGCGGATGTGACAGGACAACAGGGGTTGCTTACTTATCCATAGCACCTGATCCTACCTTCTTTTTTTATTTAGAATTCCATATTCGCTCTGCTTTCATTTTGTTGTATACTATTTGTTATTTTCATATTCTTTGTTTCCAGATTTATTACTCTCGCTACACTAAATCCATCAGGCTGTCCTCTATTTCATGTTCCTTCCTTTTCTAATCTATACACCCAAGAGTTTTCATTTCATACTATTTGTAACGTTTTAATGGACGTAAAAATACTTCTATTTCCTCTTAATTTATTGTACCCCCCCTCCAGAATGCAAAGTTAATTACTAACCTTTCTTCCCTGGTATGACATAGTTTGATGTGTGACCTGAAACATTGACGCATTTTCCTTGTAACATTAAAAAAAAAAACTCATATTAAAGGTATGAACTACTTACATTGGATACAACGTTTAAACGTTTAAAAAAATATAATGCTCTTTCTAATTGTGTTATTACCGCACTTAAAGTGTGTGCAAATCAACACTTAATAAAATTGTTACAATCTTACTAAAGTTTATTGATATTGCCCGAGTTTTATTTTCTTTCCCTTTTTATGTTTGATTAAAGAACATGAAACATTGGTGTTCTTATCAATTAACATTATATGTATGAAATATGTGAAGATAACGAACAACATTCAATCTGAAAAGTCCATTAAACAATACAAAATAGGAGTAGTGAAAACACGGACTCCAAAACATCACATGTGGGATCAGGAGCCATGCAGGCGTGAACATCCCCTGCCGACGGTCACACTTTGTGCTCCTAGTTATGCATATATTATAAATCTGAGTTTTTGCAGTCATTCATTCATTGATTCAGTATAACATCATACCCACACATTATGAATGACTTTCTGAAATAAGATTATAAATTTCTTTAGATTATTTATTTCTTTATTTAAGTAACGATTTTTCATTGACCAAAGTAAGATAGGTGCTGAAGTAAAAAATAAATTGATTTGTAAAATATTTAAAAGAAATAAACAAATATTCCTTTTATCGTACTAAATATTTTATCGTCCATTCTACCACCTCCTAATTGACATAGGTCATTGAAAACACATACTTTTTAGTGTGAGAAAATAAGCTTTGCCTTTAAAAACCTGGTTTTCGAACCCCTGTCAATCATCTGAAATTAAGCCCGGAATTGGATATATGCTAAAAGGAAATAAGTACCTGGCGTACGTCCTATATCTGGTTCAGTTAGGGTATTGATTATATTGAGTCATATACCGGTACAATGTTGTCCATTTGATGATTTATAGCACGCTTTTTGCAAACATTTTTTTTACTGATCAGTTGATGTAGTTTATTAATTATTTGCGTTGTAAATATATCTGATCAGAAATGTAATTTGTTTTTCATACACGAAGATAAAAATCTTCTATCAAATAAGAATCGAAGCTTCTTGGTAATAAATGACATCTTTTGTTACCTTAAAACAAAGAGAAGAAAAAGGAAGAAAATGATTCTATGAACAATCTGTTCTGCCTTGGGAATAGAGATGAAATAATCATTTTAGTATTGTATTAAATTTTTAAAAACATTTTCTATTTCCAGGTTACATCGTGTAAAGAACATCTGTCAGAATTATCGAGAGGTTAATTGCTTATGTACGACTGAATGGATCATGTGTCAAAACTGTGTGAATCTTATTAAAACTTATTAACACAAATGAAGAAATTCAAGGAAACTAATGTTTGATGCTACGGAAAATAAAATCCAAATACCAGAAAGGAATCAATTTTCTCAGATGTCTCCAAGACTGATAAAAAAGTGATAAATTCTTTTTTGATATGTTTGACAACGTTTCATACTAACCCGACCGTATTGATGATCCTGTCACGTGATTGATGATCCTATCACGTGATTAATCATGTGACCAGCAGTATCAATACTTCAACAAAATGTGAAGAAATTGATTCAAAGAATATAGACAACGAATTATGGAACAGAGCTTGGGACAAACGATGATAAATAGACTTGATGTTCGCTGGAGTGACACTATTTTCGATTAAAGTGATTTATAAAGAAACAGAACTGATAAGTATTATATTAATTACTTAACTTGCATCAAAGAAGGTCTTTCTCTGATATAATGGATATCACAGCAGATCTTTTGTCGACGTTAGTAGACCCAGAGGTCCGGACATTGTGCTGGAAACTTCTTAATCAGACAGAGCCAAGAGACGGTAAGTGCTTATCTATATGTGCTTGATTTTCCCTCCTGTCATGTTAGTTGCATATCTATTTCCACCCACTAAACGAAAAGTATTAACAAAAACAAAACAAAAACAACAACAACAACAAAAATTTGTCATTTATATTTCAATTACCTTTCGGTGTTAATTAAGATATTTTGGCTACAAAAGTAAACATTTTTATCTTTAAATGTTTATCGACATTTTGTTCACTTAAACCATTTCATAAAAAAATTCTTCTGAATTAGAATTTAAGTGAAATGTACAGGTAAGATAAAACTTTCAATGATGCATGTTATAAATCGTTAAGTTTAGAACGATTAGAGTATAAACAGCTTTAAAATGATAATTATTATCATAATTAAAATGGAAAAATTTGTAAAACTTGAATTGTATTTCCTTTTTTTCTATGTTCTATGTAAACCTAATGAAAATAAATTAGATAAATCTATTTTTAGGGGTTGATTAAACTTTAAATAAGCAATGTAATCAATAGACCTGTATTTTTATTTCATTTTTTTTTTCAAACTATAAGTTTTTATAGAAATAGGGGTTGCAAATGTTAAAATGTCAGGCATTTAAAAAACAGTGTGCGTTTATGTGCATAATTAGTAAACTGTAAATAGTCTTGTGTTCAAATTTACACACATGTTCAGCACCTGGTACAGCATCATTAAAGATATAAATAAACTAGAGGTACTGTGAGCAATGAGCTCACTAAATGATACCCCCGCCTCCCATATGAATGAATGGCAGTGTCCATAACGTCTGTCTGTTACCCATCTCTTTGGGGTACCCATCTCTTATCCACAACTCCACTCATACCACTGAAGGAAATTTAATGAAACTTTTACAGAATCTTTATTACATATTGCCATTGTGTACCTCCTTTTTACTTTTTGATCTGACATATATTTTGGATTTTCAAGAGCAAAACATGGACACTGCCATTATATTCATATCGGAGGCGGGGTATCATTTAGTGAGCTCATTGCTTACAGTGCCTCTAATTCATTCTACAATCTATCAGGTTTCTGATAGGAACGAGATGTCAGTGTGTTTGTCCTGCAGTTGTAAATATACAACTTTGTTTGAACTTTCATATATTTTGGTTCACCAAATAGATTTATTTTCAAAGTATGAAAAACAGCTCGTTGTAGCTATTTCATATTATACAGTTATAAAGCTAAATGATGTAAGCTCATCAAAATGTAATTAATACCGGTGTATATGCTCGATATCGAAACTCAGTATTCAGCATCAGAAGATACGTATTTTATAAGGACGTTAATGGTAAGTTCAACACTATAGAGAGCGACACATTGCGGTACTTTGTCCAGCGCTCATACTTTTTACGGTAGCCTAGTGGTAGAGCGTTCGCTTCGTGATCGGGAGGTCCGGGTTCGATTCTTGTTCCCGGCGCCGCGTCAAACCTAAGACGTAAAAATAGGTAGTGACGTTCCTTCGCCAAGCGCTCGGCATCAGAAGTGAAAGTCACGGGTCTTTCGGATATGACCTTAAAAACGTAGGTCCCGTGTCACGATAGGCGCTGGCACGATAAAGACCCTCACTGCTCAAAGGCCCTGAGTGCGGAGTATAGGTCTAAATTTGAAGCCATTTACCGGCATACGATGACGTCTCCATATAAGTGAAAAATTCTCAAGAGGGACGTTAAACAATGTACAATCAATCAATCCAGCGCTCATCAGTCCGTCCGTCTGATTATTTGTCACACCATTGCTATTAGAAGTTTAAAAGTATGTCTTTGATATTTTGAAAATGCATGCATGTAGCATGACACTTTCAAATAGACTGTTTTAAAATACCATGATAATCGAATATGTGATCCTTGAAATCGAAATCTGGCCACTTTTCAAAACACATGTAGTTTATTGTGCCGATATGCATAAAAATTTTCACTTTTGAAGTGTAAGTCTATATATTTAGTTTATCAATTAGTTTGCCAACTGTTTGCCAAGGAGGACTATGCAGAAGATGATTATGTTACTGTGTCTACCATGGCTTTGTCATTGTTCTGCTTTGCAAAAAAATACTCAACCGAGTTGATTTTATATTTTTTTTTTAATTTCAAGATGCAGGATTCTGATAATAAGTCAGTTACAGCACAAACTGATAGTTATAATGCTATGCAATTAAATAAAAATCGGCAATCATGCCGCTGTCATTGCAGTCGAAATATAACCTGGTCTTCTCTGTCCAATCCAAATGAACTCAACTCGACTGTATGGAAAAAAAAAACAAACTTGACGGAAAAAGTCGAGTAATTTTACATTTCTGCAAATATATAGACTTCGTAGGAGAGATTGTACTTAGGTCTCGGGATTAACTGCAAAAGTTTTAATACTGATGATTGATGATTTAAGTATACTAGAAAAATACCAGGGGATGACACTGAATAAGAGTATTGACTATTTTAGCGATTGAAATTTAGCGGGCTACCATCAGAACGCCAAAATTAGCACCCCGCTAAAATAACCCGCTATACGGTATCCAAATAAAAATGGTGACCGTATTGTAGCAATTTTACCATGTTTACAATGCTTTGTTTTTATTTAAGAATTTTTTTATGTCTTAAAGTTGCAATAAATGGCTAAAATATTTCACACTTATCGAAGAGGATTCAGAATGCTCATGAATAAAATATAAATATCACTTGCTACATTTGTATGTAGAAAAGGTTTTATTTATCGGATTACCAATTAATGTGTTTTTAAAGAGAAGAAAGCGATGCATTAGAACGCAATGAATTATCGAGTTTTTATGCCCAAAAGACCTTCAACAGATAATTTGAAGTAGAAAACCATTGAATTCAGTCAGGACTTTTAGAGATTGTCATATTTTTTATAGAGTCTTCTTCAAAACACTTTCAGAGGATCAAGAAAACAAAACATACAGAATTTATCTTGAAAAAAAGTTCTGAATTGTTTCATTTTTCTTCCCCTTAAAACAGATAGTTGCACAGAGTAATATGGCATCAAATAATCATTAATATTAAGACGTTACGCACGGTGGTGGTGTCACATTTGGTAACGTTTTATAACGTTTAACGCCACGTAAATGGAACGTAAACATTAATCATATCGGTAAGCGACTTAGCCGTTGTCAGCACGGCGCAGTGATGAAAGCATCTGATCTAAAGTTAGAGAGAGTTTCGAATCCCACTGAGGGACGTGGAAACTGGTCCTTCAGATAAAACCGTTTAATCCGAGTATTCTTGTTTCAGTGAGGTATCTTATTTGTACCAACATCAACTGCTTTCTTAGCCCCTCTTCTCCATGCTGGATTTAAAAGAAGTTTTAATTTGTAATATATAACCATACAAAAGTAAATTTCGACAGCAGTTTGCAACACTCCATTGGTGCATGACGTCATAATATGAAGAGGGAATTCTTTAAAGGAACTTGGACACAGTTTCAACTGAATTTTTAAGACCAATTTTAATGCTTGTAATTCCCAACTAAGGCATCGTCTAATGAACAGTAAAAAAAATTGAATATCATTTATATCATTATATCATTTATTGATTTTTACAGAAAAGAAAACAAAATATACAGAATTTATCTTGGGAAAAAGTTCTGAATTGTTTCATTTTTCTTCCCCTTAAAACAGATAGTTGCACAGAGTAATATGGCATCAAATAATAATTAATATTAAGACGTTACGCACGGTGTTGGTGTCACATTTGGTAACGTTTTATAACGTTTAACGTCACGTAAACGGAACGTAAACATTAATCATATCAGTAAGCGACTTAGCCGTTGTCAGCACGGCGCAGTGATGAAAGCATCTGCTCTTAAGTTGGAGAGAGTTTCGAATCCCACTGAGGGACGTGGAAACTAGTCCTTCAGATAAGACCGTTTAAACCGAGTATTCTTGTTCCAGTGAGGTATCTTATCTGTACCAACATCAACTGCTTTCTTAGCCCCTCTTCCCCATGCTGGATTTAAAAGAAGTTTTAATTTGTAATATATAACCATACAAAAGTAAATTTCGACAGCAGTTTGCAACACTCCATTGACACATGATGACGTCATAATATGAAGAGAGAATTCTTTAAAGGAACATGGACACAGTTTCAACTGAATTTTTAAAACCAATTTTAATGCTATTCCCAACTAAGGCATCGTCTAATGAACAGTAAAAAATTTGAATATCATTTATTGATTAACAAACGAGATACAGAACTTAAAGTTCTTCAAAATGTAAACAAGGCTTGTGCCTTGTTTTTGTTTACATTTAGAAAATTTCATATTTTTAATAAAATGAAATTCAGCAAATCACTAGAAACTGCCTAATTGTATTTAAATTAACTTCTTTATTGAAATCATCTGCTTTGAACGAACATATATTGGTATATTAATCTATGTAAACATAACATGACTCGGATCCTGTTTACATAATAAAGGTTTGGAGCTCTAACTCTGTCTTGTATCTCGACAACTGAAGTTTTAATTTTTGATTATTATCAGGAAGACCTCAGTTGAATATATTTCTAAAAATGAAAAAAAAAATTATTTGAAAAGTTTTAGCTAAAACAGGTCTATGCCCTTTTAAGGGATGTTTTACGATGAATAAATTAAGAAACAAAATACCAATATCATTTTTATCTTTGTGTATACGTGGCTTTTTTCCCTTTATTTCATGATAAAACAAGTTACGACATTAAAATATTTCTTTTATTGCGTTAAATATTTATTTTTCTTCATTTACATTCTTTCCAATTGACATAATGATATCTGCGTTGACAATCTATTGTGAAGCACTTAAAGCTTATAACCTATCAAATAATCCAAAAGACAAGTTATATCACACGATCATAATAAATTGTAAATTAACAATTGAAGGATATAACATCTTTAATCATCAACACATCAAAACGTAGCGATATTTGTGGAGCTGAATTAATTGGATACAGTTTTATTGCCCCTTATAAAAAAGAACTAAAAAATAAAAAGCAAATAAATTGACACTGGGATTAAGCAAATTTATTGGGTATGTATCAATTCCGGTGTGTGATATTAAAACACAGCTGTCGAACAGACAGTTCTAAAAATGTCAAGGACTTGAGGCGGAATAGAGAACTAGGTTGTGTTACACTTTTTATGTCTTCTACACATATTTGTATTGTTTGAATATTTTTTAAGATCGATCATGTTGATCTTTGTAATATATTCGTTAACTTGACCTTGTATATCTTTGTCCCTGTTTCTTGACACTATAAACTTTAATTTTATAAATAGATTTAATTGAACATTGTATTTGAGATTTTGATTCTTTCAAGTCTATGGCTAGAAAATAGATTAACTTCCTCTTATTGTATCTTTGTATGCTTTTTATTTCTAACAAAGAGAATTAAAATATTATTTGTGAAGAATTTCATACATGGACCTAAACTACATGTTTGCCATAGAGTATTTTAGGTGTCCCACTGCATGCTTGTGCGCACGATGGTCAAGTTCTTATATCTATTATAGAACACAATATTAAACTAAACCAACCATACCCGGAAGTAATATATGTCAAAGGTATACAAACGAAAAATATGCTCACTGTATTCGAAAGTTAATATTTTCACACTGTCAGATACACATGAGTAAACTATACACCAAGCTTACAAGTTCATTTTATACATTAGTTTTTAAAACAAAATAATAAAATTTTAAAATACCTTTTTGGAAGCGTAAAAAATCATAAAAACAGATGTTTCATTATAATGTTAGAATAAAAGACAAAAAAAAATTCAAAAAAAAAAGTTCTGATTATTGATATTCAGTACGTAAAGAATATAAAGAAGGCACGTTGTCAATAAAAATGCACAAACTTAATTCTACTCTTTTGGCTACAATGTATTTCCTAAAAAGAAAAGAAAATGACATCCAAAAACAAACAAGATATCCAATAGTGATATTGTTTATTTGTAATCTCGGTATACATTGTAACAATTATCCTACAATGTACCAAAATTGCGAAAAATGTTTCTTCTGTACCTTGGTTAATTATAAACATGTAAATGAATAGATGAAAAAATATTTCATTTAATTAATAATCAATTAATCTGCATGTGGTGTTGTTTATGTCTTCCATCTAATACGTCGTTCAAGAGTATACATCGTGTCCCGATCAATTATTAATCAGGCTCTTGGCATTAATGTATAAGATTTTACAGTGACAACAACCTTATTCAAAGCAAGTACGTCACATTATTTTAATATATTTTTGAGAAAAACCGGCCGGACTAACAAAGGCACAGCGATGCATTGCTAATCATTTATTCAGATCAATGAAGCAGATTACACGCTGCATACATTGGTGAACAATGTTCATACATATACTATTCTGTTTCTTTAATTGCATGATATCGTTATTTTTTTTTAAATTGTTATCTCAGATTCAAAATTCACAATTAACAAAATTCCGATATTGAAAGATGTGTTAATGATGGGTTGCCGGTTGAGGATCGTTGGAGATATCGCTCAATTTTAACTACTATTATTGATTTCCTTCGCAAAAAGACCGTCCGATCATTAGTGATGTACAAAATCTTTTAACAAAAAATGTATCGAATTTTTTCTTTGTCAAATCGCTGGATAATGTGACTGATACTTAATCAGGCTCTTGGCCTTAATGTATAAGATGTTATGGTAATTTCAACAACCTTATTCAAAGCAAACGTTTCATATTTCACTGTTCAGTTTTTTTAATCTTATTCAGTCAATGAAGCAGATCTACGCTGCCGTTGGTCATACATATACTATTCTTTTCTTTAATTGCATTTATCTTTTTTTTTTTAAATTGTTATCTTAAAATTCACAATTAACAAAATTCAGATATTAAGAGGGTAGATTTTAGGCTATTTTTAGACTAAGAGCTCCATTTTCAGATATACAAAATTTTTTAAACTCAAATGTATGAGTTTTTTCTTTGCCAAATGATTGTTGACAGCTTAAGATATCATATACCTAAAAAAGGAAATAAGTTATATCTTATGTTTAATTTGTTGACTCCTAGTCTTCTTAATCATCGTTATATATTTGTATTAATTAAGTCAGTTTTCTTTAATAAACTCTTGCTTCAACAGGAAAGATATACTGTCCCAAGGTGTTTGATCACGTGACCTGTTGGAATTACACATTGGCCAATGTTACAGCGACAGGAGGATGTCCAAAGTCACACCCCCAGGGACAGATCTTTTCACCTCAGGGTCAGTTCATATGTCATCTCTAAGTAAAGGTCAAGTAAAAAGTGGTATCGTTATAACACAGTGAATGAATAGAGCCAATCGTATACATAACGAGAAGGCTCATTTGATATTTGAGTTTTGAAACATATAAAATTCGACATTCTAGATTCGAGCCTTCTGAGCTGTCTCATATAATCATTTGATCACAGGATCAACATAAGGTTAAATTTGTTCAATATTTTATTTTCAAATAACCATTTCTACAGTTTACTTTCAATCATCAACTAGCTTAATTGCAGTCGCCTGCGTGGTGCAATGGTTAGAGCGTTTGCTCTAGAGTCGCGAAGTCGATACTTACGTTGCAGGTTCGAATCCCACGGTGGGACGTGGAGACCGGTCCTTCGGAAGGGACCGATTAAACTGACAGTAGGTGCTGGAATTAAAAAAAACCCACTGTTCAATGGTACTATAGATTCAATCAATCTACCCATTACTGTACATGTATTTTACAATTAGGGATGTTATTTTTTAGGTCACTCTTATCGACAATGTATGGGTGATGGGACCTGGTATGTCAGTCCTTTTAACAACATGTCATGGACAAATTACATCCCCTGTGCTGATTTCTCAGAATATCAGGTATGTTTGACTTTTTTTGGAAGTCCATGTTTGCTCTGCTCCTGTTTTGTATTTTTTATAGACTTTTGATCCTTGAATACTGTTCGTTATCTCTATATGTTTCTATAAACCACCGAGTATATGAGGATTTCAATCACCTGAATGTACATGAAAACATCTACTTGTGTATTAATTAACGTATTAAGAATTGCACAAACATATTTGGGATTTATAAATTTTGAAATTACTCTAAAATAATGGTGAAGTTAACATTTCAACAAACACTGATGTTTTTTCTAAATATAATTCATTGAGGGCATGAGTGCTTATGTTCAATGTGGATAGTAGTCACTTGGGATAGTGGATTTCTAAAACAAATGTGTGTATTTTCTTTCAGAATCTTCAGAACATAAACTATGTATACGAAAGTGGATACGTCGTATCGTTTATTTTGCTGTGCCTTGCTCTAATTATTTTCACCTGTTTCAGGTAAGCGTTGATCATGCAGGAAAAAATTTCTTAAAATTTTTGATGAACTTGATGTCGATTAAAGTAATTTTTTTTTTGATAAACTTAATGTTATATAAGGTTTTTTGCTAATGTTTTTTGGTAGACAACTTCATTGTACGCGGGTGACGATACACAAAAATCTATTTTTGTCCTACATTTTGTATGGCCTGATGTGGTTATTGTTCAATTATCTGGTTACCCCTAATCCGGATGTAGCCTTTGAAACTCCGGTAAGTATATTGCGCACGCACCAAAACATGCAGTTTATCGGTTGTATCTTTCAATTTACCCTTACCCTTACCATTATCTATATATAACCAAATTAATAAAAAAATTATCACAAAAGTTATGTGAGGTGCACACTGCCAAGGGTAAAATTGGATTCTAAACTTGGAAAGACATCTTACGTCATAGATATCATTTCGACTCATCAACATTTATTTATATTAATCTCTCTTGGGCAAAGCACAAAACATAAAATCAAATGAATAAATGCATGAAATGTAAAATGAAATTAACAACATGCCTTTTGACTTTTTTTTGTTATCTTTGATTCAGATTTGGTGTGTTGCCCTATGGATTCTACAGAAATATTTCCAGATTTGCAACTATGCCTGGCTTTTTGCAGAGGGATTCTATCTACATTCGATAATTGTCCTGACCTTCACGAACCAAAAGAAGCTGTTGCTGGTGGCGCTGTGTATTGGATGGGGTATGTTGTTTTCTAAATCTTCTAATGGGGGTGTTTACTTGGGGGTATTTAATGGGGCCTACAGTAAAGGACAAGCATTAACCTGTTTAATGATGCAGTATTTATTTTTTATTTTTGAATTGAATTTTTAAAAAAAAAAGTTTGATGGAGTATTTTATCAGTAAAGAAATGGGATATTTTATAGGGTTATTTTATTAAAATTACATCAATCTTTGAAATTTGTAAGACATGCATGTAAGAAATTATACCTCAATTTCAGAAAATCTTTAGTGTAAACAAATGCTTTGTTTATGAAATTTGAATTTAGTTCCATAAAGTTTCACGTTTTTCTTTACTTTTCTAAATAAAGAAATAAAGAAAGTGCAGACATATGGGTATTTTTGTTATTTCGTACCCTACATGAAAATTAGCTCAGAATTGATTACCTCATAAAAAGAACCTCTCTTTAATAATGTGATAAAATTAACCTAACAACTTTGGATCCCCTGGACTTTAATTAAATCACATAAGCAATATAAACTACAAAATAAAATGCAGGATTACTTTTATGTGGTTACATGATATGACCCTTTTGTGTAAGACCAAATTTTTGCAGAGGTGTATTTTAAGATAAATGACCCTGTTCTGTGTGTAATTTTTAAAACAAAGTCCTTCAGACATGAATTAAAAATGTTTTATGTGTTCTTATTAGGTACACGTCATGACTTTGGAAATCAGATTTAAATCATGTTAAGATTATGCTATAATTAACTACATTAAAATTTTGTATTAGCATGGGCATTGCCCCAATGTAATTAAAATTAGATCTTTGACCCGCTCTAGTCTAACTAGAGCAAATCAAAGATTTAACTTTAATTATATTTGGGCAATGTTTAGCCTATTGCAAATTTTACGTATTTTACTAGTATATTTTCTTCTATTTGTATTAAAAAACTAAGATTAATGACAATGACAATGACTTATTCTCTTAAATGTACAAACATACATTCTAGAGAGGAGGTAGGAAAAGATATAAACAATAGAAAAAGAATATAATACATGTATAATAGACAGTGCAAAATATGTTAAAGTTCAAGTCAATTATTTTCATCTATAATTTGTTTGACAATCAATAAAAAGAGCTATATATGGTAAGAGTCATTTTTGGCCCCCTAAAAATCAGCATTTTAGAATGCTAAAAATATATGCTTAATAGAGTTTTATTTTGTAGAAGAGATTATATTGAAAATATTTTCAATACATACACTCACAAGCTAAATATGATGTCAGAAAATATGGTATTTTTGCAATCCAACTAAAACAAGATAAAAATGGGCTTTTTCTTGACATTTTTTCTTATGGGAAACACAGAGCGCAGCTTGGAACATGCAAAATTTTTCTGTCAGTAATAACATGAATAAGTCTTGTATAGATAAATCTTTGGTAAAAATATTAAGTTTGTTCTAGTTTGCGCTCAATATTTTCTGGAAGAAAAACTGCTTGAAAATAAGCAGTTTTATACAAAATATACAAAAATGGCGTGAAAACGTGAACTTTATGATGTCATATTTCTGAATTAATGGCATTTAGATCAAATTGAAAATTACCAATCAAGGTCACATATATAGCCTTGCAAATTAAAACTATATATAAAGTAACATTATGATATTCATTTTAAGGGGCCTATTGAGACACTTATCATATATTGCTCTTTACATAATTTTTTCAATGCTGGACAGTTTGTTGTTGTAAAAAGTTGCTTAAATTTATCTTATAAGATCTGATACCAGAACGGCAGACGTAATTTTTGGTAAAGCACAGCAGGAATATATAAAGCAGAATGTCTCAGCTAAATACAATTCACGATAGAAAAAAAAGTGAAAAAAGCATTGTCCCTCTATAATCACCTTTATTATTTTCTTCTATATGAGACACGTTTCTTTAAAATTCAGGTGCTATCATTAAAGCACTATTTCTGTGATATAACTTATTTTTTATTCTATATGAGATACGTTCTAGTGAAATTAACATTGCATGATGACATTGTAACAACACAGATATATTTGTTTTCCAGTGATTCCTATTCTGCCCGTGTCAATATATGCCATACTGAATGCTAAATCAGAGGATCCAGTGGGAAGACTACAGTAAGTTTGTGTTCTGAAAAATTTTGTAGTCAGTAAAACAATTTTGCTTCACTATACATATCAAGTTTTTATGACTGAAATATGGAGTTCACTAAAAAAAAAGTATTCATGCCCAATATCCTTTTAAACAATGCAAAACGGGAGGAGAGCAAAGTCGGACCTCAAACAAACATCAAAGAGGGAATCAGATACCATAGAAGAGCGAGAGCATTATATATTAACCGGTTATACCCCTCGTGTGATCCTTGTAATGTTTAGGAAAAACGGACAAATCCGTAGGAGACTCAAAAATATGAAGTTAATTAATGGCCCACCAATTAATATGAATGGAATATATAGAGAATAATACATACCCTTTTCCATATCACATCCTGTATCAGCCCGAGACACCAATATCAGCCAGAGGGCCGAAAGCCCGAGGGCTGATAATTTCATGACAGGTTCAAACCAACACATGGATGTGATGTGGAAAAGGGTATGTTTTATTATATTTATTACATACTTAGTAATAAAATACAGAAAAAACACATTCAGTTGAGAAGAAAATAAGTAAATAATCATGCATGGACTTCTTACATACATGTACATAGTCTAATGTCTCTTAAGATTTGGGTTTGTTTCTACTTCTATTTCAATGCACTATATATCCGAAAAATATAATTTGAAAATATTCTATAGTATTACATGTATTTGTAAATTAAGATTAACCTTATTTTCAAAAAGTTAAAATTAAGAGAATATGAACCCACAAAAAATTGTGTATGATCACAAGTATTGTTATTGTGGTTTAATTTACTAAGGGTGTGATATTGACGTAAAACAATAGCCGTATCATCAAGTTTTTAGGGCTGAAATATGGATTTGCAGGGCTGATCCTTTTACGGATATCAGCCCCGCAAATCCATATCAGCCCTGCAGGGCTATATATTACGGCTATTGTGATCCTTGTCAGCCATATCGCATATGCAAAAAACCTGTATTTATTACTAAGTGTGTAATAAATGAATATAAGATAATGAACACGGATCAAGCTCAAAAGTCCTGTGAACAATATATAATATGACTATTGATTCAGGTAGGTGTCTTAACAAGCCACAAATTTAAAAGCTGTGCTGCAAATACAGTTTCCTTACTCTTTTAATTTTCAAAAGACAAAAGGTTGTAGCATGATTAATTCACTTTCTAACAAGAACAGATAATGCAATTACTCTTTACAAGAAATTCGTATAACACTGTTTTAACATTTATTATTTGTAATATTTGTCAAACATTTAATGTAGATTTAAAAGAAAGCCATTAAAATATATACATCATTATGCATGTAATGTCATCAAACATATTAGAATATAATGAGCAGAAAGAGAATTTAATTTTCATTGCACTTTAAATAATGTTCTTTTTCTCCATTTATTTCATCAGAAGGTTTTCGGTCAATGAGTACACATACATATATAATCTGTTTATTTCCGTAAATACAATGTTATGCCGACCTTGATATACATAACGTGTTTACATTGACTACAATTATATAAATGATAATGGTTCCTATTATGTATTCTTAAGTTTTGGAGGTCCGTCTTTGCTCTGCTCCAATCTTTTGTTTGATTGACTTTTAAGCTTGGATATAATTTTTGCATCACTTCGAAAAGAAAAAAAAAATATACAAGTACACATTTTATTGAACGTTTTCCTTCTCGTTCTTCGTATATTGGTTGCAAATGTTGCGACTGTGCTAATGGTAGTCTTCATATTGCACCTGCTTTTGTGATAATTTCCTTCTTGTTATTTGCATATTTAAGCTTTAAATGTTTGCAGGGTAACCGCTTGTGCTCTTTTTATCGTTTCTCTAATTGAGGTTGGTAAAGTTATGGGTTTTTTTATTAATGTTGCAGAGAATTCATTTATTGGATCATTGTTAGTCTCGTTCAACCAGACGCTTGGCTGTCTCCGTAAACTTCGACAAGTGAACGAGACTAGATCGTTGTGTTTTTTGTAGTTGTTGGACCGGGGATTCCGGGGAGAATCAGCTGATTTGGATTTTACACGGAACGTGTATGGCTTCACTTGTTGTAAGATTATTTTGATAGAGAGAGAGAGAGAGAGAGAGAGAGAGAGAGAGAGAGAGAGAGAGAGAGAGAATGTGTGTGTCTGTACAACCAAATCTAATTCTGCCTTAAACAGGTCTGGACGATTTCCAAATATGGAAGTCAAGAAAGATAACAGTGAATTGCTATAAATACACAGGATAAACAAGATGCCTGTCTTTCTGACCAATCAGATAACGGCATCTAGACAAACCCATGAGAAAATAAATAAAACACGTGGTATTAAACTTTTTTGCTCAAAAGATTTTTTGTAAAACATTTTTTTTTTGTAAATTTTATGCACATTTACGAATGATACAACATAAATCTACTGTGAACAAACACAACTTGATCGCTTAGAATAAATTCCAGGTGGGATTAAACATCCGTCATTACGAGGTTGCAATCCCAAAAATTTAACTTACGTTAATAAATTTGATATAAATACTTCAAAATTTCAGTTTTTAGAGCCTGGCAAAAAATTTTCGTATGGGAATATATTAAGCAGAGTTTAATTATTCCCTAGTGTTTATTTGAAAAATCGTTCGGTCTCTGGTATTCGTGTGTTAAGTTATGGTGAAAAAGCATTAATCTACATCCCCTTTTCTCTACCTTATACACCTTTTGTTGTGCCTATTTAAAGTGTACATAACATGGTATGCAGCGCCCATGAAACTCGTGATACTTTAAGACTACATGTAATCTAAACACTGAACGCGTGTATGCAGTAGTCGTATACCCATGAAAACAACGCGATATCGATGCAAATCGGACAGCTAAGCAGAATTATTTTCACCGACATAGCGTATGTTCTGCAAATATTATAATCTATTATAACTTGACGGTGTGATCTAGTCTTCCGTAAGCAATTTCATTGTTATATACGTACAAGTATTTTATTTCAAGATGAAAATGTCAAGTTTGTTCACGGTAAATGTTTGGGGAATACCTTATTCTTCCAAACTTGTCAGTTTGATTCTAAAGATTTTTTGTCAAAAAATCTTTAAAAAAAAAAAACAAACAAACAAAAGCACGTATTCTCTTTTTGTTTCTATGGATTATATTTTGGGATGTGTAAAAATGTTGTTTTCTGATTTGACAGGAAAATATTTACGTGTACATGATGTATATTTATAGCAACTTTCAGTTATCGTTCTTGACTTCCATATTTGGAAATCGTCCAGACCTGTTAGATAATAAATATGTACATGTTGTATTATTGTATACTTCTTACCTGAAAGATAAACGTATTCTTTTTTTTTTTGTTTAAAGATATTTACGCATAAATGTTCAATTCTTGTAGTTAGAAGCCCAAGAATTTTTTACTTTCCTTTGGACTTAACGTGCTTTAGTTGATAATATAAATGTTTTGGAAATTCCACAGCGACTCGATGACTTTAATGTGATAACAGATTCCCTTTAGAGTTTACCAAACAATTTAATGTTTAAAATGATAAATTGGTTCTGTCAATTTCTTCTCGTTGGAAAGCTAATCATTTCCATCAATATTTTTGCAAACACTTTACGACAATGGAAAATAATTTCTTTTTTTGAAACTGGTTCACCGATATTTGTAAGAACTGCCCTTTTATATGCAATTTTATATTGCATGTTCTCTTTGAAAATCTCTAATATTGATTCACAAAACCATAGAACATAAGATCAAACCCAATATTAAAAAAAAATGATAAATATCCTCTAATCTATTTTTTTCAATTTCAAATGTAACATAAGCCGTATCAAATGAAATAATCACTGCGATATAAATGTACAAAACAAAATGAACAACAAAGAAAAAAGTTTAAAGTCAATTCTATGATCACTGCCAATGCTTGTAAATTTGTTTATACATGTAAAACTTGTTTTAAAATCACTTTAAACATCAAATGTTTTCAATTTCTACAAATTTGAACTTGGCAACATGTCCTGGAACACTTGACCGTTTAATTGTTCTTCTTTTTATACAGTAAATCTATTCACAATTTAATTATATATTGTTTGCCGCGCTATGACGTCATAATAGTTTAACGTCAGACACAATAAGGTACATTAATTTTGATTCCATTATATAGGTTAACCTAAGTATTCTGGTCAATGTGATGAGAATTGTTGTTATGAAAATACGTGCAGTCAACATTGGAGAAACAACACAACTAAGGTAAATCATGTTTTTGAAAATACGTGCAGTCAACATTGGAGAAACAACACAACTAAGGTAAATCAAGTTTATGAAAATACGTGCAGTCAACATTGGAGAAACAACACAACTAAGGTAAATCATGTTTTTGAAAATACGCGCCGTCAACATTGGAGAAACAACACAACTAAGGTAAATCACGTTTATGAAAATACGTACTGTCAACATTGGAGAAAGAACACAACTAAGGTAAATCAATCTAAAGTTAATTAAGGTGTTAGATGAAAACACCAAATAAGGAAAGCGAAACTTATGTCAACACAAGGGAAACGACTTTATTTGAGTAGATCAAATCTGGGAAAACGTAGTTATTTCAATAAAAAAAAAGAAAGTCAAATCTTTGTAATCTTTGACATTGTTTTCATCATTTTTATGCTGTTGTAATATTTGTCATTTTAAGTATTAAGGTAATTCAAATATGTTCCAAAAATCAGTTTAAAGCGCGAAGGAAAATTTATTGCATTGCTGTGGTATTTGTGTTATGTTTGGTCAGTAAGTACATGTGACTTGTTTATTTCCGTAAACACACTGTAATTCCGACTTAGATGTATACTTACCTGTATATACATAACGTGTTTACAGTGAATACAAATGGATGTTATAGAACAATGTTTCCTGTTATGTAATATTTTCAAAGTAAAGTTACTACGGAAGGTTGAAAAGGGTAATTCTAGGAATTTTCAATTTCAGATATTTTTCAAAACTTTGAATTTGTTTCATTGTTTCAAAACTGGACATTCCAAAACATTTTTGTTTGATAGAAAACAACCTATTCTGATACAAAAAACATACAAATTGTTTTTTTTAATGAAATATATGAGGGTTATGAACAGGATTAAAGCTTTAAAGTGCATTAAAAAATTAAATTTAGAAACAGAGCAAACAATGCAAGGACCTCTAAAACATCAGAGGTGGGATCAGGAGCGTTGGCGGAGAAAGCATCCCTTGCCATTGTGTCACACCCGTCGTGTGCTCCGTGTTATGATCGGGAAATAACGAAAAATCTTTAAACAATTCTGTGTATAATAAAATATCAACTTTTAGTCTCATTTAATTTCTGTGCCCTTTAATTTCACAATAAAGAATGAGAGCATGTTATGATTACAACTAGCGATTGATCTCATACAAACTCTTCACTACAATTCTATCAACAGAACACACACACACTGACCCCCGGAATCTCCAGAGCTCGGATCAGATATAATTGAAGATAATCTAAGATATATTAAGATAAAAAAGAAGCTAGTGTATTGTTATTCCTTTTACGTTGGAGCGGGCAACATTACTACGAAGAAAATGTTAAGCATACTGCAAAAAAAGTTATTTTAGTGCCAGTTGTGACTGGTCTGCAGGGAATGGACACTCCTCCATGGCACTTGAAACCCTTTTCTGATGTTTTTGAGTTCCGTGTTTGCTTTGCTCCAATTCTGTTTTGTTTGATGGCCTTTTGAGCTCGAATTCTGTTCGTTATCTCCGCATATTTCATTTGATTTGTTGAAGAAAACCTGAGTTTTATTTTACAGGAAAACATTACGAGCTTGTCTGATTCTGGTACCCTTGTTAGGGCTACAGCAGGTGCTATTTCCCTTTCAGTCGAACCACATCGCATATCGTGTGACGGTGGCGCTCGTATCTTCTTACCAGGTACGTGATATTTCTTATCTGCAAAGTGTAATTTTATAACAAAAAAAGCAAACAAACAAACAAACAAAAACAAACAAACAAACAAAAAAAAACCACAAACAAACAAATTAACAAACATACAAATAAAAAAAAATAAAACCGTAATTGGGATCTAAGTGAGAATTTTCAGAAACAAAATGCCTTGGAAAAGTTTTTTTTTAAATTTCTTTCCAAGATAAATCACAAGTAAAAGGTTTGCACCACAAATTTTTTAGAAGGCATAGAATTTATCAAAAAAAAATTAATAAAAAATCTGTTTGCATAATTATTCATTATTTCAGAAAAAAGTGAACCATGAAATGTTTTGGAAGATGTAAGCTTATTTAAGGAACGTTTAAAAGATTTTTCTTACTTACTCAAATATCACTTCTTTTCATTTCAGGGCGCCTGTGTTGCTTTATTGCTTTGTTTCTTCAACAGAGAGGTATTATATAATTATCTCTATTACTTAAATGGTTGCAAAATAGATTACATTTTTTCTTTTCTTTTAATTTTCTCTCAAGCCGATAAAATGTTTTTGAATTTCGTATTACCCACTACATCTTAAATCTATTTTAGGTCGTTAAGTGTTTCAAGAAAAAGATTTCTCAAATAAAATACATCAACGAGGGTCGAAGATCCAGTTTGCTAACAATCGGAACATCTCTCGGGGGATTGCTCAGGAGGGGAAGCAGACAAATTAGCATATACACCAGGCGAACATCTGAATCACGTGACCGGAAGACATCAGAAAACGTGCCGGAAACCGGAAACCAAATCCAGAAAGATGTTAATCAGCCGTTGCTGAATGAAGGTGAAATGAAAGAATCTCAAACGGTAGAAAGTTTGCTTTCAGTCGGTGACGCTGTGTCCTTAACAGGTAACAGTACCAGACGAGAGAGTATCCGAAGTGGCGATTCTTCCAGAGGTCGATGTAACTTGCCAAGTATTTCCGAAGTGTGAATATGAAAATGCACTATGAACTTAAAATGTATGTCTTCATATAAGAAATCCTTTGAAATGACTTTTGGAAAAATAACATAAAAGTTTGCAGCAATGTTTTTGATCAATTATTTTTCTAATACTTTACATATTAAAATGCATTTTTGAAAGGCTTTATACTTTAGTGGTTTTTTGGGGGTTAAAAAAATGAAATATTAATTTTTTCAAGAGTCTTTGAACATTTATATAAATTGCTTTCTTAATTTTCATTACATTGTTAAATAGTCTGAACATATCAGTACATATATTAAGCAAAACATCACCATTGTTTACTTATCTGTTTCGTATTTTTTGGTTTGTTTCATTTTTACTTTGCTCCTCAATTTGATGTAAGATATATATTAACTATATTATACAATGTAAGGCATTAAGGCGATCTGAATTTTTTAAAGTTTCTTTTTCTTTCTCCTCAGGGATTTATTATAATTTTTATGATTAACCGGCTTAGTTTTTATTTCCATTTTTACTATCGATATCTGTATTGTTTTATTCAAATTGTAAAATATATATATATATACAAATAGTAACCATTTGAAATCATTATAGGCCTCCGTATATACTCGCCTATAAGTTGGTGTTTTTGGGAGTTGAATTTTGGACAAAAACTCATTGTCAGACTTATGGGCGAATTATAAAAAAAAAAAAAACTGGTATTTTAGAGGGTAAATCCCCCTAACCTGAAAAAATAGAACCGACTTATATGCGGACCGACTTATAGACGAGTATATACTATATTAAAGTTTGAATTAATAGAATGCAACTATTGGCAATAAAAGAATTTTGTATTCTAACATGTCCTTTCATGTTTTATGCTCATCAATGTTTTTATACAACTCCTGTTTTGTGCAATTGCTCACACTTTTATCTCTTTTTTATTTGTATTTTTGTATAGTTTATTATTTTGTTATGAATATTTGTTTTGAAAAATAAATCTTTCAAAAAAGGGTGTGTGTTTACTTTTAAATATTAAATGCTTTTAAAGACACTTTTTGATATATTTTAAAGAACAATCTTTATTTTCCTAAATGAACCAGAGTTGGTGACCAAATTGTTTCTAATTCTTATTTCTTAGTCTCATTAACTTCCAGAATTATCTATGACAAAAAGGGAATTAGATAGAGAGAGAGACCATATAATGGTGATAAATATACAAATTAATCTCGAAAATCCATTTCAACAATACAAAATCAGAGCAAACCAAACATGGACATCCGAAAACAATAATATTATTGAAAGGCTGAGTTTGATGCCATGGGGTAGTAAACATCACCTGTTGATCGGAAACACCCATTTTAATTACACCCCCTCCCCCTTCGAAGAGGGAGGGCATATTGCTTTGCTGTTGTCTATCGGTCGGTCTGTCTGTTGGTCTTCCATCAGTTCCGTCCATTTTCTTCGCAGAGGTTGCATATATTGAAATGAATTTGGTATACAGATTAACCATGACAGTATCTAGGTCAAATTCTATTTTTGGCATGATAGGGCTATTTTGGAAAGAGTTATGGACTTCGAAAAAATTCCAATTATTTAAATTTTCCGTTTATTTTCTTCGCAAAGGTTCAACACATTGAAATGAAATTTGATATACAGATTTATCATCGGACTATCAAGGCCTAGTTTTATTTTGAAAATGATCAGGCCATTTCGGACAGAGTTATGTCCCTTGGACTTAGAAAATTCCAAATTTGTTTGAAATTTCCGTTCATTTCCTTTGCAGATGTTGCACATATTGGAATGAATTGTATACAGATTCATGATAAGAATATCTAGGTCAAATTTAATTTTGGGTACGTACGATGAAGCCTTTTGGACAGAGTAATGCCCCTTTGACTTAGAAAAATTCCAATTATTTGGGGGAAGGGGGCATCAGTGTTTTTCAAACATCTATTGTTATTCATTTTAATCAGTAGGAAGGAATACCTCATACTATTTGTAATATTAATAAGCATTTAAACAATGTAAATCACTTTAAGCTTGCATACACTCGTCCGACTGTGAAATGTAAATTGTAACAACAACCTATCACACATGTTCATTTGGAAACAGCCATCAGATATGTGTTATTAACTGTATTTAGTAACATGTACAACAAATTCCTAATAAAAAGTATCTGTTTTAACCAATAAAATTATATGTGATTTAGACAAGTTTTTTGCGATTATACAAGAAAAAATGTTGTTTTTGGGGTTTTTTTTAAAAATCACTTCGTCCAACTAACATATCTTCAAAAGATAGTAGCAGAATGGTTCAGGGCAAGGATTTGAGAGATTAAAGCCGGAAAAAAAAATCATAAAAGAAAAAAAAAATAAACCACACGTACATGTACAGTTACATCAATAAAGATCGTGTCGCCGCAACGGGTAAAAACACAGACTTTTTGTAATGATATCAGTGGATATTTATTATTTAGAAATACCTTAAAAAACCCAAACCCCACGTACACCCCCAAAGATTTTTACCTTGCTTTTTATTTAAAAAAAGATTTATTCCTTTAATTAGAATACATGTATTATGCTCATTATGCTCTAGCTTAGTATAGACTTATTGTCATGAATTTTTGATCCATATGAGACGTGATTCCTATCTTCTTTACTGACACGTTTCATTTGTTCTTAAATTATATCATATCTTGAACATGAAAGCATTCTACGCCTGATGACCCTGAATCCGTACAGTTATTACCGACCACACTCGTCTTATTTATTTCTTCATAGTGGATAAGAGTTGGAAGTTATCAAGGGTGATTAGGAAATAGAGTCTGCCATATCGGACCAAGGCATCTCTATAATTTCCGTTGCGTGTTCTATGTATAGAACAGCGAGAAATTAACACGATGAACTCTTATCTTTGTAAACATGACACTTTCATGTGATTTTCAAGTAGATTGCAAAACAATGTCCAATTATTTGCTTAATGAATTTCAATGCTTCGGCTGAAAATGTCGATTTATATATTATATTCATTAGGTCTTGAAATTAGAGAGACGTTACAGCCATTGTATCTCCTACTTTAAATTTTATATTATGTTTGAAAGTATACCAAGAAATATTGATTCAGATGAATTAATATAAAGAATCAAGATTTTTGAAATTTGTGAAAGTGACATTTATTTCACGTCCCCATTTAGAATTTTTCACTCAAAGAGCAGTTGCAATATACCTTGAAGGTGACAGGCTTCATTTTACACCTTTATTTGGCACTCAGGTTATTGACCAGTGGGAGTCTTTATCTTGCCAATGCTTTCCGTGAAGTAGGGCTTCGCTTTTAAGTCTCATCCGAATTTAAGGATCCACAACTTTCATTTCGAATTCGCTTTAAAGTGTCAAGTGCTTGGCGAAGTAAAAGTACTATTGCTATCTTTTTTCATTCCGGTTAAGTCACTAGGTGCTGGGGTTTGAAAAGAGGCATTTAAAAAGAATCTATCATTTTTTTTTTCTTTATATACAAGTTATTCATCAAGTCAAAAATATTAAACATGATGGATTTCATTAACGTAATTTTCTTGAAATAAAAATACAGAGGCATTTTTTTTTTTTTGAAAGCTACATTATAATGCAGCTTTGATGTTTTGGATCAATATTTTATAATGTCTATGCTGTATTGTTTGTGAAATGATTTTGTCTGTCACCCAATTACCATTTCTCAGTCAGTAGAGCGCTAGCTTTTGACTTCACACCCCGACCATAATTGATCTTAGCCGAAATAGAGCAGCAACTGTTCATTCGCCAAGCAGTCAACACTTTATGCGGGTCTTTTATAAGGGATTTAAAAATCAAGAGCCTGAGTGCCGAGTAAAAGCCTCTTTGCTCTATCATAGAGATTTTTTATGTAATTTGCCTATTATGAAAGATATAGAGATAACGAACAGTATTTCTGCTCAAAAGTCCATTTAACAATGTACAATAGGAGTAGAGCGAAGACGGATCCCCAAAACATCATAGGAATCAAGTGCCATGAAGGAGTGAGCACCCCCTGCCAACCGGTCACTTCCGCCGTGTCTCCTTTTCCATTCCGGGAAATAACGGAAAGATCCGTCAACAATTCTGTGCGTAAACAATGGTTTAACAATAAGTATAAAAAACGTCAGTCAGCATTTGACCCAATAATAAATGGTATTTACTAACAAGGTCATTGTATAGACCATTAAACTCACGAAATGATGACTTTTAACGAGACTGCTGATATTCTTGTTTCATCAACATGTTTGTCACAGATTCACCGCTTTTTAGAAATTTTACATACGTATTTAGTAACAAAATCATTGCTTTGGCAATGATATTGACGAAATGATGATTTAATAGAGAATGCTTATCTTCTTGTTTCATCGACTTGTTTGTCACAGATTTACCTCGTTTTAGAAAGTTTGCATATGTAGACTATAGAGCGTATCAAACAATTTAGAGATATGAACCCCGTTTTCAGGTGATGAAGGTACGTACGTGTATATTGCTGTAAAGGTAAGGGAAGTTGACGATTGAAACGTTAAATTCATCACGTTTATCATAAGCTTGGTTGTTAGATAACCATTTAAGTTTTTTCATGTTAAATATCCAATTATGAAACAAATGTGTCAAACTCAATGTTTTCTTTTTTCTCAAGCTCACCGGGATATATCGTATCAATATTAGAATGGAAATAACCATGATTGTAATTGATCATACATTGAGGATTTATCAATTGCAATGTCTAATACTTTGAAATTACAAATTTTCATGTCACTTTTAAATATGCTTTGTTTTTTCTGTGTGTGTGTTTCTTTGAACCTATATTTTTCTTTCAAACCAGAAAAAATGCCTAAACATTAATAAAAAATCTTTTTATATTCCGTTCTTATCATTTTTTTAACAGACGTGAAAAACATTTTAAGTAATTATAAATCAGGTGATACTATAAGACAAGAAACTTTGAGGCTTAATTGCATGGCCACAAAAATGATTAAATGTATTCTTGACCTAAACGTGCTCTATCTAAGGTCCATGCAATAGTCGTTTTCGATGGAGGTATTCTTTTGTGAATTTCTTAAGAGAATATTTTCACAAATTTGAGTTGTCTCTCTTAATATATTATAGTGTTTTCCCTTTTAACAATCTTATAGTCTCAAGCTTACTGGGATATATCGTATCAATATTAGAATGGAAATAACCATGATTGGTAATTGATCATACGTTGAGGATTTATCTAAATGTCGAGTTGAAAGCCTTAAAATTGGATACAATACTATATGATATGCTTTATTTTCTCCTTAGAGGGATGTTAATTATAAACAATATACAATCAATAGAGATGTGGTTAAAAATTGCAACGCTCACAATAACTTTTTGTGTTTTCTGTAAGAAGGAATATACCTTTTTTCGACAAATACATGTATGCAAAATACTGAAGTACAAGTTAGTTCTTCTTGTTGCTTGAATTTTTAGGTAAATGATAAGATATCAATGTCTAATACTTTGAAATCACAATTTTTCATTTTAAATTTAAAAATGCGTTGTTTTTCGGTGTGTGTTTCTTTCATACCAGAAAAAATTCCTAAACATTAGAAAAAAAATTAATTAGTTAACTATATAAATATATCAAGATATTCTTTTTTATATTCTGCTATTACCATTTATTGTTATTTTAACAAATGTGAAACATTTCAAGTAAATAGAAATCATGCGAAACTATAAGACAAGAAATTTTGAGCCATAATTGCATGGCCACAAGAATCATTAAATGTATTCTTGACCTAAACGTGCACTATGTAAGGCCCATGCAATAGTCGTCCTCGAAAGAGTTATCCTTCTATGAATTTTCTGAAGAGAATATTTTTCATGAAATTGAGTTGTCTCTCCAAATGTAGTATACTTGATCTCTTGCAGGCATACATGTACGAGGCATATTATGGCTAGAACCTCGTTAGTTCTAATAACTTGTGTTCAAACCATTTCTATATTATTCATAGAATAAGCTATGCTTAGATCATACAAGTATGCTTAATTTAATATTATCTCTCTTGAAAAAGTTGCATTATCTTTCAATAATTATTTGAAATTGTATCACTTTTATTATTTGAAGTATCAATTATGATAGTCTCCCTTTGTGACTCTTATTAATACCCATTGGATGTAAAAGAAAAAAAAATAGTATGGAAAGGGATCATACAATTCAAATTATTGCTTCGGGAGTCTTCTTTGTAAATCACAATTTTCAGTCACAAATCGTAAAAAGTCGATTTCATTTGAATAGTTATGACTGAAGAAACTCTAAACTTATATTAGAAGTCGGGTTCAGCTTAAGGGTGCCATTTTAATGTTTCCAATAAAATTGATCCTTGCTAGATATTGATCACAATATAAAAAAAGCATTCAATTTCCTGCAAAGTATGTGGTTTTAGATTTTATTTGCTTCTCTCAGAATGTGCTTCACGTTGACTACTTTTAAGAAAAGAACACATAAAATTTTAATTTCCTATCGAAATGCATATGCAAAATATGGTAAAATACCTTGTTTAATTAATACTCCTAAATTTTTAAGCTTGAAAAGATGAAATAAAATCTTCATTTTGATATACATTTTAAAATTTTTTTAAGTGTGCGACGGTCGTACTCTAAGAGTGTCATCAATACTTCCGTCTGGATCTTTTTCATGAAAGGAAATTTTACACTTCATGTCCATTATTATCCATTTGACAATAAAATGTCAGTAACCTACTAAAAACGTCAGATTAAGAATTTGATTTCCTAATGTTGTTTTGTGCATCTTTACATGCTGCCCTATAAGTTTGAAACATCTTCCATCAGGTTCATCAACTTTTCAATGAAATGAGTAATATAGCTACTAAGAATGTCTAAAAAGATTTTCTTTTGTGAGCTTATAAACATGCTCATCAAAATATTGTTTTGCTTCCCTTTTTAAACTGCATATGAATATCTCAATCATTTCTTATTGCCTTCACTGGTTTGAATAAAAGGAGACAGAAATGTATTAAAAATAGTGTTTTATATTTCAACAAGTACCACAAAACATAAAAAATACATATAAATTAAAACAATTAAACTTCTACATTTTGTGACTAACAATAAAACGCTATAAACAGCTCTGTGCTCGTCTTAATTTTTCATCATTTTTCACAAAATTTCTACAAAGATGGCCTTTAGAATCCACTTGCCACATACAATAACAGGATTCTGGCGGGTATTTAGTTGATTGCAATAGTAGGGTGCTGCTATTATCCGCCGAGGACCCTCTAACAGTGTCTAATTGGTAACTATTTGGTGGTTGACTATTTTTGTTTTGACAGATACACCTAAATGATCCTCCTTGACTTGAATGTCTATAGTATCTCCTATATCTATAGTATGGTCCTCGGTTACATAATCTTTTCATGATTTCCATCTGAACCTTTAAACAAAATGGAACATCAATTACATGTAATTCAATAAATGCAATGATTGCTTCTTAAAGATAAATAAACTTTTAAAAACTGTATGCACTATTAAAGAAAATTTCAAGATAAAATTAAAGGAAAGGTTTGATGTATCGATAAAATTTTAAAACCTACTTGTACACAGAAATATTTGTCAAAAACATGACGTTATCAATACAAACAACAGTTTATTTAAAGCTAATTGCCTTACCTCATTGTTCATAAAACAAAATAAAATTGCCACAAGCAATCCCTGAAACATTAAATAAAAGTATTAATTGTTTTTCTTTTATTTTAAAAAAAAACCCAGTTTTTATCAGAATAATTCTACAAAAATACAGTCATGCACTTTTAACATTGCACAATCGAAAGTATTTAGATCTAAATCTTTTGTTGTTGTGCTTTACATGAATATTTTTTTTCTTACCTGAAAAGAATTTAGAAACATTTCAAAATAAAGCTTTACAACTTCTGCTTCCGGTGAAATATTTTCATCTGGAAGTCCTAAGAACACCACGTAATGGACACCGAATAACGGAATAAGCACCAGTGTTGATTTGGCTAATCGCCTGTAAAATTGTAACACTACATAAGAAATGGTAGAAAGCTACTTTATTGCATGTATTTGTTTTTGGCGGGAATAAAATTTTGACCTGTTCTGGCAGTGCAAAAATTCATCAAAATAAAATCAGCTAAATACATATGTTAGCGCAGGACATTCAGAGTAGCAAACTATATTTCTGGATCCATTATTTTCATCATAATAAAACAGTTCTTTTCTGACCAAAATAATGGTAGAACTAACCTGTATTTATGCCTCTTTGCTGTCTTTGATATCGGGGTCTTCATTTTGGTAAATAATGCACGTAGGATATTTATAAAAAATATGAAATTTATCTGCAAGAAGAAATTAAAAAAGGAATGTTAATAAAAAAATAAAAGAGATTTAATTTACTGCATCCTTGTATCTCTAAAGAAGTGAAACTATGGATTAAGATGAAACGTGCCCCATGTAAATAGCACAGGGACATAAACTTTTAAAGCAAAATAAATATAAATGTTATGAAAGGTTATTCTGAGAAATTGAAATTGAATTTTCTTTTTGTAACTTGGACTTTTAATATTTAAATGAAGACATTTGAAGTTTATTTGATAATTCAAATCTACAAATAAAAAATTCAACAACAACAAAAATTTCAAAAAAAAAAAAAAAAAAAAAAAAAAAAAAAAAAAAAAAAAAAAAAAAAAAAAAAAAAAAAAAAAAACCCGTAAGAAAGGTAAGGAATCATTACATTTATAAAGATCAATTGAAATCCTCAATTTTAGAAAAATACAATAGAATACAAAAAATATACATGTACTAACTTATATATAACATTAAATTTAAATAAATTAGTATTTATTAATATAATGTTATTTTGTTCATTGGTTATAATTTTGGTACTGTACCATGTGATAATCATTACTCGAGAAAAAGGATTACAAAGAAAAATCATATCCTCAATCGGTCATGCATATATGGAGAACATAAAATTATTTTAAAATTTATAATTATATATCTTTATATAAAGCATGTTCACACATTGAATTATACACATAAAATGTGTATTGAAAGAAGGATGGTGAATACATACAACAGTAACTAGCACCACTGGAGCTTGGAGGATCCACCGGTATCCCGGGGAGGGATTCGTGTTCCAACAACTGAAATGAGATGGTCAAATAGAGTAAGTTCAACATGCTGAAGTACATGTACAATGAAATACATACCATGTGATATGTATTATGGCTTATGTAATTTGTGCACAATTTTGTATTACATGTCATATATTTCATAAGTTTTATGTCATTTACACAATAATAATTATTAGTGTATAACAATAATATTAATGTGACAGTTAAAATATGTACCATGTTGTCATTAAATGTAACATGCCATACAAAGTATTGAGATTTGTAACAGAATCTGCATTTTGAGAATTCATTTAAAGAGCAGTCGTATTGTTTTGACTTGAAGATTTGAAATAGAATGATTTTTAATTAATTATTTAGAAACCGAGATAGCGGTATTTTCACAAATGCAGTATGTTATGTTACTTTTTTGCAAGTGCTTATTCTCTATATTATTTTGCTGCAATTATGTGGCTTAAAGTGTATTTGTCTTTAAAACAACTGAGAGTTGATTTTGTTGTTTGAGGTGAAATGCAGGTGTGAATGTGTTTGCATGAATCGATGGATTTACATAGAAAAAAAATTAAATTGATATGAACATTTTTAAATAAAATAAAAAAAAACTTTTTTTCTTTAACAATTAAGTATAATAATTTACCAAAAAATCTTTTGTTACTGATTTTAAGCCATATATACTCACTAGACGTTCTCCAACAGAGCTCTTATAATAATCCATGGAATGATAAAAACGATTGGCACGACTGAAATATGAAAAAATAGCATGAGTTCTCTATGTCTTTTTTTAATTGGATAATGTCACAAAAAGATAATTATAACAATCAAATATCATTTATCCGTATTATCTCCATTATAAATGACATTTTATTCAAACAATAAAACCTTATTTTATGTGAATTATGTTAAGTCAAGTAAGAAATGAACTGACATTTTCAGGTTAAAAAGTTAATCTATATAATGTACTTTTATAAGCTAATATTTTACAAACTTTTTTCCCACTCAAACAATATATTATTTAAGGTCCCTGAAACTTATAACGAAGCGAGGAAGTACTCTTACATACTAACTCGTAATATTTCATTACAGTGTGTTGAGGAAAAGGAAATTAAAAAAGGTAGACATTCATCTAAAGAGAACGTGGGTGAGAATAAAAGATATGTTAAGATAACGAACAGTGGTAGTCTAAAAATCTATAAAAGATAAAAAAGATCTGTGAATAGAGCATAGTATAAAAGTTAAAAATATAGTAAAAAAGTGTTGACCCGTTGAAAATCCAGAGATGGGATTCCGAGACTATTTTCTCGCATGTCAACTGCTGACTGCTGCGCAAGGGGGAAATGAAACTTTTACAAACTTGACTATGCTTAACTAATTTTATAAATGACTCCTATACAGAGAAATATCACTTTCTTCCCCCTAAATAGAGGTTAAACCTAACACCTATCCCATCCTAAACAGGGGTACCACTTTCTTCACCCTAAACAGAGCATAAACCTACCACATCCAATACAGAGGTACCTCCTTCTCCACTCTCGGTTACACCTACTCTATCCAATACAGAGGTACCATTTTCTTCCCTTTAAATAACGTTTACTTTACAGGTGTATAAGTTGGCGTTTGCCTGCTCAAAGGTATGCCAATAAAATGGCGTAACTTATTTTAGTTACACAGGGGTTGACACAGGGTTTCAACTCCTTGCAGATGAACACTAAGAAGAGGACTGACTATTTTAGCGATTAAAATTTGAGCGGACTACCATCAAAACGCCAAATAAGCCAAAATTAGCATCCCAGTAAAATAACCCGTTGTAGGTTAATGTTACACCTACCCCATCCGATACAGAGGTACCATTTGACACTGCTCCGCTCAGAGAAAACAGATACCATAATGAGTGTATGTAAGTGTAAACCTTCCACAAATATCCACATATAACTGGCCATTAGGACGTAATGAAACACGGTAAACAACATCTTACACTCCCAGTGCTGAAAGAAGACATAAATATTACAATGGAAAATATGTTTAGGAATTGTTCGAAGTGTGATCAAGTTATATACAGTAAATAGAAATTCGAATAGTTTGAAAATTATTTAACAATTCTAAATATCTATTTAAAATAACAAATGCTAAATACTGGCATTGGAAGCCATTAATCATCATTTGTACATTACGCACAAAGAATTCTTTCAGAGATTTCAAGCTGAATTAGGTATAATAGATATATTGTATTCAAAATTGAGGAGTGATAATTTTTACATTGAAATATGCCTTCTGCTTAAATTTTAGATTGGTTTATTTTAGCACTGTGCTATTGAATGTACGTGTAACAAGTTAAAACCACTGAGAAATATCAATAAACTTCAGAATTTCATCAACAAGAACTACCTACCGGGCCTTCCTCGATGAAAATAACTCTTTCATATGGTGTTTGTTCAACATCAATAGGCAAACCAAGTCCTTGTACCAGAAGATTCTCTTTAAGCAAAGATATAAGTGCTCTCAGCATAAAGGCGATAAAGAGATTGAGATGAACAGTGTTCCTTGGACAATGAAGACGTCTACAATATAGAATAAGATTGCTTCATGGAACAAATGTTCCTATGTAGCATGAAGTTTTCTTTAAATTAATGTTTGTTCGCCCTCTAGATCTCCAGACTCAGAATAAAAAAAATAGGTAGGTAGGTAGGTAAATCTTCTTCGGGATATGAAAAATTAAGGTATAAAACAAAAAAAAAAATTTCCTGGAATGTTAAAAAAAATGAGTCAGTACATTTTTAGCCAGTCAGTCGGTAGAAGGCAAACATACATTCTTTTAAAGAAGGCAGCATGAAAGATGTCATTAAATCTGTTGGTCAGTAATTGTGTTACTAGTATCACGTGCCATACATTTGTCTATAGAGGAAAACATTGGAAGATAGAGAAACTTCGATAAAATCTGAAAATGAGATAATTTACGATCCTTCCGCCATAAAAGCGATAATAAATCGAATGATAAACAAATTGAAACTAACAGAATAGATTTTTGCGAAGTACAAAGAAGTATAATCAAAATTAAATTATATACTTTTAAGGTTTTGCCAAAGCTCAGGATGTCCAAAAAATATTTTAAAAATAGCTCAGTAGTTTACAGTTTTTAACATAGTTTTGAGTTATTGCAAAACATGTTTTGGACATATTGACGATTGGCAAAACAACATAGATAAGCCTTTTCGAAACGCAAGAAATAAGATTGTGAAATTACCTATACAAGGTATACAAGTATGTGTAAATTCCTTTGCATCAAGTATTCTTAAGAGTGCAAAGTTGTTGCGTTTATCTATCAACACCCTCTGCATATTCCCCATTTTCAAAAGTGAGTTATCTCCCCTCAAAATCGGAACTCTTCTACACTAGCCTAACTTCCGCGGACTACACGTTACGATAATCCAACAAAATAGTGATCAACTTATACGCTGTATTTAAAAATTTTAAAAGAAGGAAACGGTTTGCATTTTTTTTAGATAATAAATTATTTTATAAAGAGTCTGTTAGCCCCCCCCTTTCTAGAAAGCTATACGAATTAACCAGGCACGTAGCATCGTCTTTAAAAGTGTGGTGGGGGGGGGGGGGGGGGTAGCCAAAGAAATATTTTTTTCTTACCTGGAAAAGTTGACAAGCAAAGAAAAACCTTGCCCAAAGTTGAAAAAGCTATTTATTTCAGTACCAGTTCCTTGGCATACGATACTACATTTCCCTTATATAACTTTACCGTAGTATAAACAATGTGTGTGTGTGTGTGGGGGGGGGGGTGTTGGGGGGGTGTTAGGGGGGTTGGCAACCTGTCTATCAATGAACATTTTCAATGGAAAAAGTAATATTGGGATAAAAGTGGGGGTGGGGCTAAACCCCTTGAACCCCCCCTCCCCCCGTGCGTACAGGTACAGAGAATATGTAAATGGGTTTCAAGAACAGTTGAATTTGAACCATAGTTGTGAAAATTAAAAATTATTAGAATTATTAATTGTGAATTCAATAAAATTACGGTACATATATTTTTTCACAGATGTACATGTATGTCAGTTACACGGAGTCTCTCTCTCTGATATTGTTTTTTTTTTTCTACACATTTTGCTCTAACTTATAAAAATAAATACATGTACTTACACTGAAAGGATTTTAAAAAAATAAATAACACTTGAGAAAAGAATGTTTTCCGTTAATTAACGAGAAATACGCTAGGAAATTGTTGTGTCAATTTCGTGTTTCTGCTATCAATTCTCTGATCTAAAACAAAATGTGTATATTACTCGGGAATATACATGTACATATGCTTAGATCCTACACTAAAAGTTTGATTAAATGCAGCTCCGGCAGACTTTATACGACATATGTAACACGAATTCAGGTCGATACTATTTTAATAAGTTTTTCTTCGTTACATGAGCACATGAGATTAAATTATTCATTTAGAATTCCATTCAAAGTTTTAATACTTTATAGTGAATCAATTATTTTACAAATAAAAAATTCTAGAAACACGGTTATTTCAAATGTTTTAGGCCGTTAATTGTCACCAATTGTGTTCTTGTACGTAAAAGTTCTATGTTATGACATACAATCGAGCAAAAACGCAGTTTCTTGGTATCGGTCACGGAAGACGAACTACTGCTGTATATGCAACAATTTCAGAGGTAAAACTGTAGATGGACATGTTATCAGTTTTCAAAAAATTCCTAGAGATACAAAGAAAATATGGCTGCAGCAGGCTAGATTAATTCGTAAAAACTTTATAACTAAAAATTTGTTCCGCACATTTCGTAAATAATGATGATCCGTCTACAGAACATCCACTACCGAATATTAGCTTTAAAAAAAAAAAAAAAAAAAAAAAAAAGGCCTATTCGAATATGTATCAGCAGCATTTTATCGGTAATTTGTTTCGTTCTTTTTGTAAGGGGGGGGGGGGGGGGTGGTCACACAGCACCTTATTATAGTACTACACAGATTAATACAAATCCAGAAAGAGATTATGAGTGGGCAATTTAATAAAAAAGAATACGAATCAGTTAAGATTTCTTTTTATTCACAAACACAATAACATTTTTCCATATGACAGAGGCATACACAATGAACATGTTTACATCAAAAACGTCCGCGGAAGTGACTTTATTTATAGCGCATGCGTATTAAACACAGTAAAAGAGTTCGCTTCAGGGGAAATAACTCACCTTTTGAAAATGGGGAATTAAACCAAGCTTAATTTATTTTTTAAGGACTTTTTTCTACAAAGGGAACGTTATTTTCGGAGAGATGCATTTTACGACGAACTATTGATGGAAAGGTTACTGATGAAAAGAAACGCATTGATATCAACATATATAGTCCCGTTTTTCTTTTCGATCAGGTGTTGATTGAAAAGTTCGCTGCGTTTGCCATCAAGTTGATTTCTACTTTTTAAAAAAACATGTCTTCATCTGTATATTTAGAAGGTAATGGCAATTCTTAAGGATTTTTGTCTGGAGCAAAAGCGTCTTTCAGACATACGTTGATTCGTTGTTGGATTTCGATAAATAACTATTCCCAAAATGGATTTCTGATACTACTGTAAAAGCACAAATATTCGTGTGGGATTAAATATCGTTTATTTCGTTGTTAACAGTTATCAACGAAATTAAATCCCACACGAAATTTTTATATGACTACGAAAACATATAAGCTGACAAATCAACGAAATTTTATCCCAACGAAAATTTGTGCTTCTAAAGTATTTCTCAAATCTACCACAAAAGCCCTTATTTTAGTGTTACAGTTTAATATACTATATGCGGTTAATCAATTAAACTTTGCTTTAAAATTTCTCATACGTTATTAACAGAGATAACAATTTATTGGAAAAGCTAATTGTTCTTTTATAGATTTACCGGCGAGTTCTTTTTGTGTCTTATAATGCCCTGCAAGTTTTGCTAAAATTACTTGCATTGTACATATAAGATACGTTTCTTTTAGAAAACTAGAAGCGTTACAATAACTTTCTATTTGGGTCAACAGAGGGTTAATTACCCTTCAATTCTGTTATTATGTTGTAGTGTATATATTGAATACAAAAGAAAATGTGTGAGAAAGAGAGAGAATCTTTTCTTACTTATTCTATGACTTATAACACCTAAGTTAATGCTTTTGTTATTAATGGCCTTGGTACTAACTTATAATTGATATTGATAGTTTTAGTAAGTATACCCACAATTACAAGGTCACCAAATAATGAAGTTTGGGTCAGGGATGTATTACTGTTTTTGGTATCAATGACAACCCTTTGTTTGGGGGTGTGAATAATTATTTAATACGGCTTTAGGTTTCTTGAATGGTAATTAATGTATTCCGGTAAGAAATCCATTGTTATCTCACTAAAGGGGATACCACATGTCAATATTCTGGCAAGATACTACTGATCTGTATTAGTTATACAGTTCACACTGATGATATTTGAGTCATATTTCACAGAATTGTCTAAGTTTGGCCACTAATCATTTCTCGATGCAAATTGTTGGCACATATGATTTTTGTGTGATTCTGATAATATAATAAGATAACATGTTTTAAACAGATCAAATTTTTCATCGTCTAAGTTAGCGTAATATCTTCTATACTGTAATTCAATTAATTAAGTTGTTCATACTTGGGAGTCTTTATATCTGAAGAGAAAACTATCAATCATTTGTTTTTCTTTCTTGTGACCGATTTTTCCATCACGTTTGTTTTTCAAGTTATATCCATCTATAAAAGAACTTTGATAGGGTTTCTGTTTTTGCAATTGATTCATTCATCTTTTTTATCATTTATGAATGGGATCGAAACACTTCCTTTTGTTTCCTCAGATGATATTCAAGGATATAGTGACACAAATTATCTGAAAGTGTGTCTTCTTGAGAAGAAGAAAAAACTGTCAATAAACATGAAATAAATTAATTATTTCTCTCATTATTTCTTCTTTAAGTATTATCTTTATATGTCCCTAATTTAAATTCTCTTTTCATAGTGGCATTTATTAGTTAGATTTCTATGTTTTTTCGTACCTTTACAGTTTATACTGTACCAATACCTATATTTATCGTAGCAATATACATATTGTATCAATGCTTAAATCGTTTATATTAAAAAAATTATTCTTTTTTACCAATACCAATGCTCATTATATTAAAATTATTACTAAGAATAAAAACACATGTGTAAATAAACTTCAATGAAAATTCTTGCTAGAAAGTGCACACATTTCTTCAGCGTTAGGCTAGCTCTGGTTTCTATGTTTTGTTTCTTTTTTAAATTCCTTGTTGATTTTGGTATTGCTGTCCTCTGCTCTCTATCATACTCGAATGCTACCAAACATATTATGAAACAGAGCACCAAAACATAGAGACTTAAGCAAGTCTACTTCATCTTATACCGGTACATATAAATGTATATCTATTTAGTCTTATCTTAATGCAATATTCTGTTGATTTATTTTCCGATTTCAATGCAAACTATTTTCATGGTACATATATAGCTCAGTCGGTAGATTTCTCGCTCCGTGATCGGAAGGTTGTGAGTTTGAATCTCGAGGCGACTGACCATAGTCAGTAAAAATGGACAGCAACTGTTCCTTCGCCATTCGCTCGGCACTTTGAGGTGAAAGTAGCAGGTCCTTAAATGTACCATATACAGTACTGTATCTGTCTTCCAACCACTGAACCCAAATGAGATTTATGACTAAACAATGTATCATTAATTTTAATTAAATTTGAAGAAAAAAATACCTTAGGTTTAAATTAACTTTTTTAAAAAAAATTGTTGCTTTGATGTGAGAAATTTGATTTACAGAATATTTTCTGTTTAACTATTACTGTATTTGAGATTCGCTTGCAAAAATTTAAATTATTAACTTCATACTTTATCCAGATTTATATAGAAATCGTTTGATTAACGTTCTCTGTTGTGAAACACGGAGATAACGAAGATTATTCAAGATCAGAAGTCTATAAAACAATACAAAATAAGAGCAGAGAAAACAAGAACATCCAAAACATCAGAGGTGGGATCAGGTACCATGGAGGACTGAGCATCCCCTGCAGACCGATCGCACGCGACGTGTGTTCCTTGTCATGATCGGGAAATAAAGGAAATATCTTTCAATTCAGCGTATAAATAATGGACTAACAATTAGTATGAAAATCGTCAGTCAGCATTCAACTCAATGATAAACTGTATTTGCTGACAAGGTCATTATATCGACCATAGATCTAACTAAATGATGAGTTTAAACGAGACTGCTGAAATTCTTGTTTGATTAAATTGTTTGTCAATAATTTACCTCGTTTTAGAAATTGTTTATACGTAGAGCACGCTCTTGCCTATAAAATCAACTGTGATATATAAACTCCTTAAGCAGGTGACGAAGGTACATTGCTGCACAGGTAAGGGAAGTTGACAATAGAAAACGTAAAGTTATCACGTTTATCATAGAGCTTAGTTGTTAGATTATCTTTAACGTTTTCAAGTAAAACATCCATGCATGTATAGACGTTGCGCACGGTGTTGGTACACACTGACGTTACGTCAAAATAACGTAAAAAAAAATCCATAACGTTGTTGTAACGTTTTGAACCTTATACCTGTACATTTTAGATCTTTGAATGAATTTTATTTTCAAAAGTATTAAAAAAAAATAAAATAAAAGGGCACTTAATGTTCAATGTTTGAACCTTCTTTTTTGAAATATTTAGATGTTTATAAAAAATACATCTTAATAATAAAAATTTAATTACTGAAATGCCAAAAGCACTCAGTGAATATTCCTCTTTCTATTTTTCTCACTCGTCTATCTTTTAAGGAGAAAATATATAAGTATATAGTTTTCCCTTTCCTCTTCCTTCAATATTTTTTTTCAGTTAGTTTGTTACAAGTCTTTTATTTCTATATAGCGCCCGCATGCGCTTTGAGTGTATATAGAAAAAAATGAGTTAAATTTTTTATACTTTCTTCGTTTCAATGGAACTGGTGTCATTTTGAATTTAAAAAAAATGAGTATCAAATTTGTACATTGAGGGGATGAAAAAAAGAAGGGATGGAGACGTTTCACCATTATCAAAAATCTGCTTTATCCTGAAAATTCTAAAATCGTTTTACTATTTTTCGTGAAAGAAGGGGGGGGGGGGGCTCTTAATGTGCTTACATCGTTTAGTAGTTTGTGGAATGATATCATTTTCGGGGATTTCATAATTTTTTTTCCTTTGTTACATGTACACATGACGATAAAGGTAATAAATATAATTTGAGAAAAAAATCTCCAACAAAAAGCTCCGTGGTTGAATAATGGGGGTGGTGGGGATGTTTTCTGCATGTCCACAATTACCTGTGGGCGGGTACTACGGACCTGCATGGAAAAAGCCATGGCGATAATAATTTGACGCTCCCGACGTCATATGTACGCATTGCGTAAAATGACGTTTTTCGTACCTGTGACAAAATGGCTACACTTTTACTGATGCTTGCATTTATTTCATGTGGACCATTACTGTAAAGATTGTGTAATTAGTAAATGTGGTATTTAATGTTCTTTCAAGCTGCATACATGATTTCTATAAATCTTACATTAATTTATATATTTTTGATACGTTACTGAGACATATTTAGTAACAATACAGTGACACGTACGTGCATAACAAAATGGCTACACTTAAGAAAATCTTCCTAATATTTACATTGGAAACGTAATATAAAATGTATCAATTCAAATAATCTAAAAAATATATGTACTAAAAGATTATTCACCCAAATTAATATTTGTTTTGGATTTATGTGTGGTACACATCTCCATTTCGGCTAATGTCAGTGTAAGAAAACGATTTCTTACTGTTAGACATTTTACTTATGCACTGTAAATCCAGTCTAAATTCATGAAATTGATAAAATGATGTTAAAAACTCAACAATATCTTAAAGAATGCATATATTTTATTGTACCCCCTAAATTTCATTTAATTCAGAGAATTTTAAGTGTGTTCTTTCAAACCATTTATTTGCGCGAACAATAATTGATGTAACGTCGGACATGGGAATTTCGCCGTAAATGACCAATTCAGAGTAACGCCCCATCATAGCTTAAATAATTTTAAATCATTTAAAAGAAAATTTTAAGAATTATTCATTACCTTAGATAACATAAATGATTTTATTTTTAATTTAAAGTAAATATGAAACCGTGAAACCGCCAAATTTCTTTGCGAGATAAAGAGTTCGATATTATTGTACCAACACCGTGCGCAACGTCATATGAAACAGATTTGTCGTACGCTGTGGTACGCTGCGGTATCTTTTATCTCAAGCTCACCAGTATATATCGTATCGAGCTAACTTTTCTCTTGCTGAAACCAAGGTAAGAGAAGCCCTGGAGATTTTAAATAAATTTCTCTTTTATAAATTAGATACTGATTAAAAAAATAATTTGATAGTCCTAGAACTAATATGATGATTATTTCAGACAGGAAATTGCTGGTTTTTAGGTTGTAGTTAATCCAGAATCAATAAATCTGCCGTGAATTTTATTAAATGCATCAGCTCTGTAATTTTATCAGCAAATTCTGGCTCTGGAGGCATTAGTCAAAGAGAATCTTACATTTAATCACATGAAACATAAGGAATTATCAATTGAATAGTGAAACTGAATTTCTGGCTCGTCTAAAGTTTTCTAAAGCCTGGAGCATGTAATGCCAGATAAGTCAAATTAGATTTAGGAGGCCAATTTGATTTGTGATTTTATTATCTTTTTTGAGTGATACTTGATTGCAAGTTGAAGCCCTTGACATTTCAAAAGAAAATTAATTCAAAAATAGAATGCCTTTTTTTTCAAGGAAAGAATTGTTGCTTGTGCCAGTCAGGACCATTTCTCTTACACGAAGGGAAGGGCCCTTAACTAGAAGAAAAAAGATTACATTCGTGAAATTTTAATCAAGACATTTTTTTATTGCCAGATAGCGACAACCACACATTAAAGTGTGAATGTGCTAGGCATAAATTATTCAATTTAATAATGTTATTAGTAAACTTTTTTAAAAATTATTTTTTATCTTTATTATTTGGGTGGGTATAAAGTAAACGTGATGTCCGTCCGTCTGTCTGTTGCGCTTTGGGATAGCCATCTCTTATCTGCAATTCCTCTCATACCTCTGAATGAAATTGGATGAGACTTTCACAGAACCTTTATTACATATTGCCATTGTGACCTCCTATTTTTTTTTGATCCAACACATATTTTGGGTTTCTCATGGCAAAACATGGACACTGTCATTATATTAATATATGGAAGGCAAGGGGTATCATTTAGTGAGCTCACTGCTCATACTACCTCTAGTTTTACATACATTAGGTAGTATCTGAACCTAAATCGATTCCAAACATCTGATTATTGAGGTATTAAAGTAAACCGTGTATTGCAATTTTAAAGTCTCACTTGTTTTTTAGGTTGAATCTTACTTGAAGTAAACCATAATGAAGACGGCAACAGAAAGGGTTGCAAATGACAAGCCATATCCAATATTGTACATCAGTCGAATGTGTTCCATTTGTGTCTACAAGAAAAAAAAGAACCAAAATCTTATGTTCGTATACATTTATTTCATATCCCCTCTAGTAAAAAAAGAAAAATTAATCCCTTAGCAAAATATAAATAACATTTTGTAAACATATTTAGCAAACATCGAAGTAATGCATTTATTTTCATAATATCAGCAAAATGTAAGTGAAAACCTACTAATAAAAAAATGTTAGCTTAGATTTTTTAAAATTATTTTTTGGACTAAATTTGAATCGGGCTCATAAATTGCACGCGTGTTAAAAATTATCATGATCTTATACAAGTGTTGCAAGACTATTCGACAAAATACGTTTTTGTGACTTGCACTTAGTTAATACTCGGATATTAGAGTATTTTGGAGACCAGTTTTTATAAAAAAAATATGCTTCCTCGAGACTTGACATGTCTTATATACATGTGAGTATTGAATAAGATATGTAAATATATTTGTAATTTCCTAACGTACGGTATAATTTTTGATTCAAAAATCTAAACACGTGAGAGTATAATCTCTAACATGTGAGTGTGTATTTCATATGTGAGTGAAAAGTCAATAAAACGTGCATGTTTTATCTTTTAAATGTGAGTGTTAAATTCAACTGTAGTGTAATGTAACATGCAAAACTACCTGTACAAGAGTTCCAACTCTCGGATCAGTGCTGACGATGCGTTTATTAAAACACTGAGTATAATTCGTCCAGGATCGATTGTGAGTGGGATGTGTGTACCACTGGCCATCCGGCATACATCTCTTTGAAGCAAAATCTATACAAAATCAAAACAAAGAAAGTTTTTAACAAAAAGCAGAACATAAACGTATCGGAAAATATATATTGATTGGGAAAAATACTTTTCCTTCAGTATCGAAAAATAAATTGTTTAAAAATCTAGACTGAAAATGTAAACAATAGATTTCAACAGGTTTTGTTTTGCTCAAAATTGCTTTAAATACTTGATTCAAGTGCTTGAAAGATGGAAAGAAACCTTTAGACACACAAACTTGAAAGATATAAAAGAAGGTAGAGTGAAACGCTACTTGCATATCAAGCCCTTTTTCAAAACATTCGCAAATCAATTTAACCAGAAAGGATATTTTTATCCGTAAAATCATTTTCCAGCAGAAATCATTTCAAAAATAAAAAGCAAAGTCATTATTCAGGTATATGTTCGAATGGAACAAAATGTTTACTCTGACCAAAGTCTATGCGTATTTTTTTCGTATTAGAAATCAATTATCTCCTGCTTTCATGGATATAAAGGAAATTGAGAAAATACTTATTAAGAGGTCCTATGTCTCATTTACTAGCTCTTATTTCCAGTTAATTACAGAACAAGAAAATTCCATTTCAAATCCCTCATCGTTGTTTTTCCCATTAAAGGCTTCTTTTTTATACTGGATGTGAAGACTTTTAAAATTTTGTTCAAGTGGTTTTCAAAAAAGTTCATGAACTAGCGCCATAATGTTACCCCTTTGGTACATCATTGAAATTTTACACAGTTGGTAAGCATCATATAATCTTTCTGTATAGTAAACTATGAATCAAAACAAACCCAGGATAACAACTCGATATAGAATCAAGATGAATATAATTGAAAGAATAAATAACTGGAGAAATAACCGGTGAATAGACTGTAAGAAGACTTCGGAATTCAATACCTTCGAATTATTCACGAAATTCATACAAAATAACTGAAGTCAAGATTCAATTAAATGTAATTTATACCACTTACTAAATTGCTGGCTTTCACACATAATTATTTTTCATTACTTATCTAACATCTGAAAGTGGAGAAGTGCTTAGAGCATTTGCTTTAAATTTGCTTTCTAAAGAATTACTCTTTTCGTTGCAAGTTCGAATTCCATTGCAGAGCCGGGCCTTTGGATGAGGCTATATAAACAAAGGCCCCGTTTCTGGGAAGGTCAAAAGCCCTGAAAACCGGTTTATGTTGTAAGGTTTAAGCACTCCAATGACCTCGAATGACACGTGGTGGCGTTCCAATATGAGAAAAAAAATATTCTGGAAAGGGGCATTAATCATAAAACAAACTAATAATTAAAAGGTAATCATTACGAATCCTATTGTTTTGTTTGTTTGTTTATTGTTAAATGTCCCTCTCGAGAATTGTTGGAGACACCACCAATTGCTGGTAGAGAGCTGCAAATTTTGTCCTATATGTAAACTCGGCATTTACGGCTATTGAGCACTGAGGGACCTTTTTTTGCCAACAGCTACTGTGACATGGGACCTCGGTTATACGGTCTTATCCGAAGGTCTCCAGTGTGATTCAACCCGCTACGGAATGATCAACTCCTTAATTCGCGACTCTAGAGCAGACACTTTAATCACTGCGCCGTGCGGGCGACCTAATGCTATTGTTATTCTAACCGTAATGATGTAATTGATTTAAGTAAATCGTTTTTACTATATGTTATCAATTACCGTCTGTTATCATCGCCTTTTTCAGATACTTGTATCAAATTTCAAATGCAGTTTTACTACTTTCTAATATAAACACTGAAGGAAGCTTATTGGATTATATGAAATTCTTTGTATATATTGTTACTGAATACTTACTGTTGACATAAAATCCGTTTATATAATTGGCACACTGTATATAAACTGTTTTATTTGGCGCTGTATCTGGCCAACATGTGATTTCATCCCATGTACTATTACAATACAGATCTGGAAAGAAGAAAATCTGACTTAAATATGTTATTAAAAAAAGCAAACAATTTTACATAGTTACATTTAAAATACAATTTGTCGTATTTTACCCCTAAAGTTCTCAAGACAAATAAAAAACAAGAAAACGTTGATGTACATGTAATCATCAATTGTCGCCCAGGAAATAAATAAACAATGGAAATGAGTCTGGGTCATCAAACCGCTTTGATATGCCTGAAAAAGACATGCGTCTGAATGATGGAGACGCCGGGCTGCAATGAGATTAATACACATTGTATGTTCGTATGTAACAAAAACAACATAAATGTATAATTGAACACTGAATACCGGTATTTGGTTTCTTAAATGATTTCCATCTGCGGTGTCAACCTAGTCTACCTGACACTCCTTTGCAATCATTGCCTCTTTTGGTAGATGAACTTTAAGTACATCACCAATACATGTACTAACGTATAAACGAAGATATGGAGAGTTGATTTCCTCTTATGAAAAGCAAGCAAAATTGTATTGTATCATTAAGATATTTATTTTTTGTGAGGAGGAGAAGATTGAATACAATTATAAAGTGTATTTTTAAGTCTAAAAAATTTAAGTTGTACTAAAATAGATAAAGCCGCACATGCTTTCGCCTATGAGAAAAAAAAAAACAAATGAAAAAGGTAATAAGACTTCTCACAATACAAAATTAATAAAGACAAAAATAAATATATCTTATATGTTACAGTTTTAACTTCAATAAAACATTCATCGTGATTTATTCGTGACTGGTAAAAATAAGAGAAACTCTGTGTTCCATCGTCTTTCAAAACACGTCGATTAATGAAATGTATACTTAAGTGCCAAACGCAGCATAATATGACGATCTCAGCTAAGGAGGTAGTATACTAGTTCATATCTTGTGATTGCGTGGATCGGTTAAATAATAGAACATGTAAACGTGATAACTGCCACAATAAGCCGTTCGTAAAAAGTGATGCGTCAGTGTGTTCATTGAAAATACCAAAATAAGCCGTTCGTAAAAAGTGATGCGTCTGTGTGTTTATTGAAAATTCATAAAGTATTGCAAGGACACATCTCTCTCGAACTCAGTTAAGGCAGAGAAAACAATACTTGAGAAGAGGTCAATGAAAACTGCACTCATCTGAAGTTAATGCACTACGGACCCTTTGACCTTCAAAGGCTTAGTTCTTTCTTTTTTTCTAATCATGTCAAAATGTACGAAATAATGTGGTCAGAATCAGTAGATCAAGACTACGTCAAAAAAGTAATGGTTAAATATCAAAATTATTACTACTGCAGTTTCATCAATTTTCGTTGGCATCAATTTTCGTGTTTTTTTTCAAAAAAAACCTTTTCGAGGATACATGATTTCGTTGCAAAAAGCACTGTCTATAAAAATAAATAATAAATATCTTAATTCAATGAACATGTAATTTCGTTGATATGCTCAACAACGAAATACTCGAAAACTAAGTCTTTGGTCCAGTGTTTTTTAAGGATGACGTTTACTCAGGTTTCAGAAGTCAGAAAGGAAATTTTAGAAAGTATATGTTAAATAAAAAATCGTTCTAAATTGATGAAATAACCAAGTTTGTACTCAAAATCATCAATTTATAAATTCAATATCTTATTTTTTGAAGAAAATAGTCAATATATGTTGACGCAGAGGAAATTCGGACTAATTTTTTTTAAAATTTTTCATTTTTGTCCAAAAAAGATTTCTTGAAATATCAATTACAATGTTAAGGTTACATATATTTTAAACACCATTTTGCAAATTTTATGTGTATTAAAGCTCATGAATTCTTTCAAAAACTTGAATTCCACGCAACATATCTCAGTAATTTGATCATTGACTAAAATTGATAATTCTGTAAAGATTTATTAATAGCTACTCCTAGAGTTGTAGTCTTACTGCATTCTTGCCACAAAAAGAGACTTAATCAAGGACCATTATTCTTTTTATTGCTTTTTTTTAAGTTTTAAGTCCCAACTGCTACTTTTCTCTTCCTTTATCATAAGTACAAACCAGTAGAGCTACAGACTCGACAGAGGGTTCTGGTCGTTCTTATCAGTGGAATTTTCGGTCATCTGTGTAAAGCTATACTTTACATGAAGTTTTTGAAAGATTTACAAAAAGTACCTGAGTTAGATGAACTTTTGCGTTCCTTTACAAACTATAACTCGCATTCTACAGTTGAAAAGTAGGTCTTGGTTGAGAGAAGGTAAGATGGTGCTTTCTGTATCAATAAAATATATGATTTTTTTGACTGTTAGATGCTTTTATCAAATAAAAAAAAATTCATGGAAGAACGCGGAGACAAGACTTACTTAACAAATGTTTCAGCATTTATAAAGATTTATAAAGACGTCTCTCTCACCCTCTAATTAAATTAAACTTTTCATGGACTAGATTTTTTTAAACTTAAAAATGATTCTAAACCTTCATGTTTTGCATTGTTTCTAATGTTGTTATTTAAGGTAATAAGAACGTCGGGTTCCGAAAATCAGGCATTGACTTATTGAAAATGTGCTCAAAAACGTTTCTGAATTCTTAAAGTAATGTGTTTTACCCACGGTAATTCTTCAAACTTCATCTTTAAAGTTAATCATATTATATGCTGGAAAATAAGTAAATATCAAATAATTTTTCAGAAAATGCGAATATAAACACCTACTATGTATTTTCCAGTTCAAAGGACAAGTGCACTTAAGCAATACTTAACGGGCCCTTTTTTATGTGCCATTTTTCTTTGGAATATATTAACAAATCGTTCTCTTTTGGTAATAGTTAGATACTAGGGATATTTCTAATTAAAAAGCACGTTAATCATCACCTAAATCAGCATGGATTTGAAACAATTGACTATTTTTAAATGCCGATGGATACCCCAAATCCGGAAAAGTCGTACCGAACCTTCTTTGAGTTTCCTTTATGTAAATCAAGGGGTAGTGATATTTAAGGACATACGCAAGGTACCTCAACTACTGAAATTTTTTCAAGATATTCTAAATTTAAACTTACAATACCATTACATGTTCTTAGACAAAACATCAGCATGCGTTACCAGGGGTTTCGAAAAGATGTCAAATTGTGAAAATTTTTGCATTATTCAAAGAAAAATGTACAAAAATTACAAAACATAAATTCCAGATTTTTTTTCATCAAAAATGTTTTAGAAGAGGTGTACAAATCCATATACAGACATTAAAAGTATTACACACGGGTCCTTCATTTAGTGGAACTCTTCAACTCCAGGGAAGAACCCGATAAAGTTCAAACTACATTGCGTATGACCTTAAATTCGACACTTGAACAATCCGATGGTGGATCATAGTCGGGTGCGTTTGCGGAATATTACTTCTTACGCTAAATCTGTTTTTAAAAACTGAATGAAGTTGTGTAGTTGCCTGTAGCCATAATGATCAAACTAAGAAATTGGTACTCTTGCATTTGAAAAAAATACAATAAAAGTTTCATTGAATTTGAAATTAAAAAGGAGTGTTAAGATGGCTTTCAATACCTGTTTCACTGTATTGCATGAAGGTTTAAAATGTTTGACACTTCTATGAATGGAACTATGATTCTATGAATCTGAAAAAATGTAGCGGTAATGAGTTGAAATTTTTGGCAATGTAGCGGTATTGTTGACCTCCCGTTTTATAGTGAGCACCTTTGAGGAATGTTTACCTGGGTAGAACCCACGTGACTACAAGTATTTTAAACAATTTATTCCACACGTTGGTTCAACAGGTAAATAGCTCTCACTTGCCGTAGGAAAAACATTGTACTTTTTGTACATTTTTAATATTTTAAGTACCAGCCTAATCGTGTACAAATTTCCTACTCTCACACAAATTTTATAAATTTATTATGCGTCTTTTGGTAATAGTTAGATACTAGTGGATATTTCTAATTAAAAAGCACGTTAATCATCGCCTAAATCAGCATGGATTTGAAACAATTGAATATTTCTAAATGCCGATGGATACCCCAAATCCGGAAAAGTCGTACCGAACCTCTGATGGTGGATCATAGTCGGGTGCGTTTGCGGAATATTACTTCTTACGCTAAATCTGTTTTTAAAAACTGAATGAAGTTGTGTAGTTGCCTGTAGCCATAATGATCAAACTAAGAAATTGGTACTCTTGCATTTGAAAAAAATACAATAAAAGTTTCATTGAATTTAATTTGAAATTAAAAAGGAGCGTTTAGATGGCTTTCAATACCTATTTCACTGTATTGCATGAAGGTTTAAAATGTTTGACACTTCTATGAATGGCACTATAAACTCTCTTTACCCTCCCGTGTTTTTAAAAACAAATACATACAAATATTTCTAAGGGGCACAACTTTGACTAAATGATACAAAACCTGCCGATGTTTTATAGTGAGCACCTCTGAGGAATGTTTACCTGGGTAGAACTCACGAGACTATAAGTATTTCAAATGATTTATTCCACACGTGGGTTCAACAGGTAAATAGCTCTCACTTGCTATAGCAAATTTCCTACTCTTACACAAGTTTTATAAATGTATTATGCGTCTTTTGTCATTCGCACAAGTTAGGCTCATAGTAAACAAAAGTTTTAAAATGAATGACCGTTCTCGATTTCATATAAAAAATCACAAATGTCGGCTGACCCCTGCCACATTCTATATTTTTGCTCTTTGTATATTCGTGTATTTCAGCAGTAAAATTTGTTAAATCTTACGGTTTAGATATCAATTAATGACTTGGGATGAAAAATTTTGCTTAATTTAATTGTTTATTTTTTTCACATTTTACCAGGGCCCATACCTGCACTCGTTCTTTGATCAAAATCACATTTTATAAATAAAAATCAAAAATATCTAGACTTCTGAAGAAATTGCACAATTTCATTACATATAAGGTACTCTATTTCAAGTATTAACTTCGATCATTTTACAATGCATAGTGTATAAAGATTTTCATAGCATTGCAAAACACAACAAATCACTTCTAACATCATAT